CACTGGGTACGAAGAAATTACATCACACGAAAACCAGGACAGAGTTTCGTTTCTCTCAGATGAAGTAGTCGAAATTTTATTACACGAAGACCAGACAAGTCGAAATACTCTTGCGCTTATTTTGGACAGATTGGACAAAGTTGAGATACGAGTGGAAGAAATTACAAATATAAGCCAAAAAAATCCAAAAACCGAAGAAATCAATAAAATTGATTTTACCATGTTTTTCTCAAGATATAGTCAACTTGAGCATGAGAAAAAATCTGTACTTGATGAAAACACTGGCCTAAAGTTCCAAAACACAAAGTTGAAGGAGAAGATTACGTCATTTAGACCATTGCCCCAATTTGTGAAGTTGCTCTTAGACCATCGCCCCAGTGGAATATAGCTGATTCAAACATACAAACGAAGCATGCAGCTGATGAATGGAAAGTACATACAAAGTCCAAATCACAGGATCGAGGTTCAGAGTGGAGAAACGTCAATGGAAAGGGCTTTCCTTTGATACAGCCCCTGGAAACAGCGAACAGATTCAACTGCCTGGATACCTTAACAATAAAAGAGTGTTCAACACAACTCCCAAACGACAGAGAGTATTCAGCCATTGAAGATAGTCGGGTGTTTCCTAGAACAACGAGCAACTCGGGTGATAAACTCGGAAAGGATATTGATAAACTAAACAAGGTCCAAGGAGGCCTAGAAGCCCTAGAAAGCCAGCTTTTTTCTATTCTCGGCGACTCTATGGTAAAATAAGATCAGGAGGCAAGATCTAAATACCGAAGTTCCATACGCCTAAACATCAATAAAAACTTTCACCGGAGCCACAATTGGTCAAATGAAATCATATATCAAGCCTACTTTAGGTGACAATCAAGAAGCTTACGCTCTGAAGTTCCCGAAGTAACGGCAAAAAAATTAATTGAATTGAATTGGCCACAGAAGCGAAGAAAATCGTGAGAAATGTTGCTGTTGCCAGTATCATAAAAATGGTAGATTCGTATGAATTGGAGATTAAGCAAAGAAAGGTAAATGACTTAGTCAAGGCAGAACTTTCTAGAAGCAAAATAAGCTTTATCGAACATGAAAATACTGAAAATAGACCCCTTGATAAATGCTTGGAAATTGCGAATGACAGCTTATTTTTCCAATATTAACATCAATTTATAAATTTAAGTGCAATATCAGGTCACTCATCAAATTTCACATCGATATTCGAAAGAAGAGTGAGCGAGATCAATCCTTACTTTTACCAAATTTATAAGGACTTAGTATGGAGCAAGTTCCTTTTTGCCACTTTGCAAAATGGCGAAAGTAAACAAATTTGCCTCATAGCGTACCCGCGAGTTAGACATCTAGCGCCTTCGGCGCTTCAATATCATTGTTTTCAGACTGGTTTACAAATAAAAGATGGAAGAAAAATCACAAAATAAAATGCATTTACAATAATATAGTAATAAATATAATTATACAATAAAACTATAGTTATGAAAAGATTGGCCCTTAAATTTGTCCATGAAGTAAGATTTACATTTACACTTGAAATTTGGGTAAGAAGATATTTTCGTTAACTCTTTAGGAAGAGCCTTCCAAACTTTGGTTCCATAAAATCTGAATTTTTTGACACAAATAGTAGATGACAAATTCTAACCCGGCCATTTAGTGTCAGATTCTACAAAATACTACCTCAACTTTAAAAAATTGCATAATCTTTTTTCTTAGACGACATAGTCTTTTTCTGGTGAAATTATCATGTTCATGCGAAGTAAATGCTAAACTTTGTTTCATTTACTTCTCTTCTCCATCTTCTTTTGGATTCTCAAGTCCTTTCTATTTTCATAGCAACATCAAATGAAATAGATAAAACTACAGGACATAATGAGCTTGTCAATACTGTAATCCGTCGACCTCTTATATCACCAATTGCCTCAGATGAGATAAGTTGCGTCTGTTCTTCTGGCTACTAAATTAAAGGGCATCGTCAGCAAAAAGGGAGAGGTATGATACAGTGGTGGCGCCAGAGGGGGCAGGGGGCTACAGTCCTCCCCATCTGAAGTCATCACTGGTAGCTTCAATCAGATTCATTTCTTTCATGTATCGTTGTACACTTTGGTCACCAGCGAAAGTTAACTATTCATCAGTATAAGAAAGATAATGGAAAAACACAACGATTCCATCCATCAGTGATAATTTTGCCTGCCCTGTCAGGGTGTGATTCTGCACAGATTTCGTTTTGTGTTGGGAAAGCAAAGGCCCTAGTAGTTGCAAAAGAAGTACATCTTCAGCATTCTGGCCATGAAGATGCCAATCTAAATGATGTGTTGCTATGGCCAGAAAGAAGTCAGCTCATCGAAGGATAGGAATAAAATCATGCTTGGCTTTTTATATATATACAAAATTACAAATTGATACAAATTATAAAATACATAAACAGCAACATAGTAAAGCTAATACAATTTCTAAAGTTTTACATCCACATTTGTATTTTATAAGAGACTTTAATAGCAATACAGTACCACACAGTATAAGACAATTCACGACTATACCACATTACAAGACGCATTCTCCTGCAGCCAACAAGCAACGATAAACATAACAAGCACTGACATGTAAAAAACACACAAGAATAAGGATAAGGGGTGCAGATAAAAGAGAAGAAGGGCAAAGGGGTGCAATTTCCAAGTATTTAAAGTCGCGGTGCTTGCTGTGGTGTTTTCTGTCTCGTCGAAATTCCAGAAAATAATGATTGATCTATTTTAAAACGGATCCAGCAACAATGTTTAGCCACTCAATGCATAATTTTCTTAACACATTTGCACAAAGATGTGATCTAGTTACTTTTTCTTTCATGTTTACAGAAACTGCTATGAAATATCTAGGCCTAACTCTAGAAAAAGCCGAGAATGAGTCATAATTCAATGCTTGGCTATTAATAACAGAATTCAAATATAGTAACAAATTTTTAATTTGATATAATTATTGATATTTTTAGACTAATTCAAGGCCACACTCTTTGCTTGTAATTATTCTTCAGCACAATGCGTCCCTCCCCTTATCTTTAGGCCTATGAAATATCTTCGGTGTACATTTTCACAACAAAGATTACTAATTTAGCCTTATCAAGAAGAAAGAAGTTTGATTCACATCAAATTTTGATTCTACAAATTTGATTCGACAAACTATATAGAAAAAATTCGCACTTTCCTACTTATTAGGTTCTAAACAACAGACAGAAAAACTCAGGAATTATATATCTAAAGTGATCTATATTATTAGATAATAGACTCAAAAGGCTCTTTATATGAAGATAAAAATTGCAAGCATATACTTTTTCAACTCATAAAAGAACGACAGGCCAATGCTATTTTTCCCCCGTAACTGCGTAAACTAATAGGGCCATATTTTTTAAAATTCTGTTTGAAAACCCCCAAAAATTGTTATATATTGCTGATATATATCTCCTCTAACTACCTGCATCAGAAAAGACACTGAAATAGTTGTAAGCCACGAGAAAATCAGTCCTTAAAACAAGCAATTTTTGCATACAGAAGTCCTAAGCTATAAGAATAATCTTGAGTTTAAATACGTCACTAGGACATATGACTTGATAGCTCCTCGCGTGTTTTTCTCATGTGTCCTTCAGCATAACATAACCACTTTATCTGATGTACTTAATTAATAAAATTTTTGAAAATGCTAACTTTTGTATTAACATTTGTTTTTGCTGATAAAGGTTTTGAGTTTGAGTTATTGCAGCTGGCTTATTGTATTTTGCGAAAATTTTCGCATAATGCGAAAATGCGAAATTTCGCAAAATACAAGTTTCGAGGTGGTATTTTGTAAAATGCGAAAACTGATTCTAAAAACTTTATTTGCCCAGATCAACGACCGAAAACAAGCATTTCATATTCAGGGCGACTCTGTTCATGCAAATAGCCTAGTTCATGTACCATTTAACGTTAGATAACTCATGGACACATTTTGGAAAATGGTTCAAAAACCAACCACACCAAGGCCATGAACGGCCAAATTGTGAATTGCCCATTCCAGCGAAAGACGATAACAGTAAGCATCCCGGTGCTTGCTAATTGGTAATTGGTAAATACCCAACGTTCTGCGTGTTCTGTGTTGTTTTAGGAGTAATTTACGCCTTTATCCACAAGGCCTATTTTCCTGCTTCCTTCCCGGTGAAACCCGCGTGGCTGGAAAAGGACGGGGGTGATGTCAAAAGATTTTCGCAAAAGACAAAATGGCTGGGGGTTTTTGTATTTTGCGAAAACTAGCCAAATATTGTCGAAATGTTAGTTTTTATTTGAGAAAATGTACGGAAAGGCTTTGGACTGTATTTAAAATCTTGTCAATTGAGTAGGCATCAAAAGATTCGATCCAATTAAAGAATTTTCGTAAAATACAAAATGGCTGGGGGTTTTTGTATTTTGCGAAAACTCGCCAAACATTGTCGAAATGTTAGTTTTTATTTGAGAAAATGTACGGAAAGGCTTTGTACAGGAAAATAGGCCCTGTGGATAAAGGCGTAAATTACCCCCAAAACAACACAGAACACGCAGAATGTTGGGTATTTACCAATTACCAATTAGCAAGCACCGGGATGCTTACTGTTATCGTCTTTCGCTGGAATGGGCAATTCACAATTAGGCCGTTTATGGCCTTGGTGTGGTTGGTTTTTGAACCATTTTCCAAAATGTGTCCATGAGTTATCTAACGTTAAATGGTACATGAACTAGGCTATTTGCATGAACAGAGTCGCCCTGAATATGAATTGCTTGTTTTCGGTCGTTGATCTGGGCAAATAAAGTTTTTAGAATCAGTTTTCGCATTTTACAAAATACCACCTCGAAACTTGTATTTTGCGAAATTTCGCATTTTCGCATTATGCGAAAATTTTCGCAAAATACAATAAGCCATTGCAGCTCGCTTTTTGCCACTATTTAAAATGGCGGAAGTTAGACAAATTTGCCTCACTCGGCAGTACGCAGGTGGCTGAAAACAATTGGGGCGAATGTGAGGCTTGCTGTTGTTGCAAGCAGACATCAAAATGGCGGCCAGACCTAAACAAGCGGTTGCTAAAGGCGGGTTATGGTCTACAAAACCCCAAAATGTTAGCAAAGAAACTTCAAATCTTTTGAAAGGTAATTCAACGCACTGTGTAGTTTTTTAGAATTCTTTTTAAACTTTTGGCAGTTCTCGACATGGGCAAATAAAATGTGGGAATGTTGTGATGTGTATTACACCTATCGTACCTCATCCAGATATTTTCATGGATCCATCCCCGAGAATAAGTTGCTTGCTTGTTATATTAATTTCAACCAGAAGACCAGAAGAATTTCGAAACTTTTGGTTACAAGAGCCTATCAAAATGGAAGGGAAGTAGATTCTGGAAAAACTCAACCTGCCCACAACATTCCTTTGCTGTTGCGAAAGCCAGTTTGCTGCTGTAATTAACAACATTATTTAGAAAGCAACTTTTTCATCTTGTAACAATTGGACCAGGGTGCATTCCATACTGGAAACTTTGCTTCTTGCACATACAATTTAATTTTGAAAATCTGGAATTGCACGCCTGAAATTACTCACATTTAGAAATTTGTAGTGATAATAATGTAAAATGTTAGCAAGCCTCTGTTGATTTAAGCTGTATATTCTTGGATTATTTATTTAATAAAAATCTTTAATAGTGATGATGGAGGAATCCAAACTGACTAATTTTCAAAGACGAAAGCTACAAGATGATATGAAAAGTGAGTATTAATTACAAAGGTATAGATTTGAGATATATCTAAATTGTTTCAAGGCATTGGTTGAAATGTCATTTAAACAAATAGACATTTACTGTATATGTTAGTTGGTCTCTTCTTGTGCTTGAGGTGAGGGAGAATAGTAAAACAAGCAATCATCTCTTAATGTTTGTTAGATTTTGGCATAAGCACTTCAAAAGCTAAGAAATTTACTCTAGTCTTCATGGTGAATGGACAGCAAATGCAGTTTTGGGGTATGTGTCTTAAAATTGTTAGGCACAGCAGTAAAATACAAGGACATTTTTAGTTGATTGACTCAAGTTGGTATCAGGGGTGCTGCCAAAGGGCATAAGGGAGGGTGGAGGGTGCTGTGCTGCCAACACTTTGTTGATCTGCACATAAAGGATTTTTGCAGTGCAAATGAAGAATTCCTTTTTTCGATCTATGTTCTGACATTTTAAACTCTGAAGAGTGTCAGACGAAAAGCTTTAGTTTAGTAAATGTCTGCTTTTTTCAAAGCCATTTAGAAGAATTCCTTTTCAAGTTTGTCCAATTTCCTTTTCTTCAGACATACTCCGTTATAAAAATGTACAATTTAGAGATATATACCATGGCTACAACAAGGGCATGAAGTAGACTAGAAGAGGGCAACATGATCTGGAAAGGAGGTTGAAAAAATGGGCCAACTGGGACAATTTTTAGCCTAAAAACATAGGGCACAGAAAGTTCTGGAAGATGCTGAAGACACAAAATTTTACTCAGATATGTTAATGAATAATATTCCAGTCCACATGCACTGTCCAAGATCTTCAAAAGCATCCTAAATAATCAAAGACAGTCTCCCTTACCAGACTTCAAGACATAGCATGAAACTCGCATTTGTTTTGCTTTCCAAAAAAACTCAAATAAACAAAAAGTTGAGTTTGAGTTGAGTTGAGCTTGAGCCTTGCATCATTGTCAACCTTCAATGATTTTGAGCCTCAGTATTCTTATAGACTCTATTCTTATAAACAAAAGTTTGTACCTGTAGGTTCCTTATAAAGTTGTTCTTTATAAAATCGTATAACCCCATTATTGAAACAATTGCATTGGTTTCTGTATCATTTGAATAGAACTGAATACAACATTCTTACGATTGCTTAAGATCACAGTAACATTTTGTGATGGTTACCTTTTAAAACGTATCTTTGTTTAAAACGTAAGTTTGAAACGTGGGAGAATGCTCCTCCAGTCATCAAGCACCAGCTTTGTGGAACAAAATTCTGTATTTAATTCGACCATTAGAATCACTGTTAGCCTGCATGCAGTCTCTGATCTCCTTCATGAGGGTTAGAATCTGCATGCAAGCCAAATCCTTGTGTGTTAAGCAATCAATAAAGGCATACTTATTTGGGTTGTATTACTCTTAGACTCCTCTACATATCAAAACTGTTAATACAAGAACATTTAAGTTTCAACAAAGTTATTTTAAAGTATTTATCAGTTTGATTTTATGATGGAAATTTTTATTGAATGTTTAAGTAATTTTAAGAAAAATTTTCCAATGTAAAAGTCCAATGTAATTTATATTCTGCACTAATGAAATTTACTGTTTACTGGTCTGTCATGAAGTGCTTGATGTCGTATGAGTTGAGCTGTATTTACCTGATGATCCCATTAAACATAAAACTTGGAGTAGCAACTTAAAAAACCGGCCTGTCTCAATTAAAGCTAGATCGGTAACTCTAATTTTCAAGCATAAACTTTCCCAAGTACCTTCAAGTGCCTTGTGTTTATTTTTATCACAAATCAGCCCTGGAGATATGGCACAATAACAAGGCGTGTATTATTATTATTATAAATTGAGTCGAGTGGGAGCTGGATTAATGGATTCCAAGAGAGCACAATGATGAATTGAAGCTGCGTTTGGTATTATTATGTCCATATCATGTCATCATCCTATGATCAATAAATTATACTAATTCATCATTCACACTGTGATGTTTTGTGAGTGTGAAGGCAATTCTGGAGCACTGGCAAAACTGGAGATAGAATCGTAAAGCAGTTATTTTGAAATTGAGTCATTAGCCCGATGTATTTGTCATCATTTCTTTGTCATTTTTACATTTGCATTTTTTCTGAATAATTGTTCAATTCTTATTGTATCCGTCAATTCTAATTTATCCACATAACTACGCTAGCATGTGTGCGGAGAATTTGCTGGAACTACTTTACCTCTTAATGGTTTTTTGTCAATTATCAATTTGCTTCATTTGAGAATCGTGAGCTTGAGCTTATCTCAAAACGGCAATTAACTTGTCAAAAATCAGCAGCCTCTTTAGCTAGTTCCTTATTGACATTTTACCGGTTAAACCTTGCTCTCCATTATATTGGGTTATATAATATTTGTCATTGCTGAGTCAACCAATTCCGAATAGTAACGTATGTATTCTGTTAAGGTGGAAAGTCATTGCCAGTACAGTGTCTTCCAACTTCAAGTACATCAGCAGGTGCAAAGGGAAAACCAAAGGAGCCCAAATGCAAAAAGACAGGTTCTAGGCAGTTTTGTTATTCAGGAAAAAGAAGAAAGGAAATTATCGATATTTTAAAAGAACGAAATAAGGATGATTACAGACCAGTTGGAGGAAGTAGGTGTTGTTATAATGTGGTTTCGTTGCATCGAATTACTTTAATTTGTTTAAAACATTTATCAACTTAAGAAAAATATGTATCTACTTATGCATATTGGAAATGTTACAAATAGATTCCAAGGGTGAAAACGAAGTCCTTCTCTGTACACAATAGCGGTTTTTTCGTTCAAAAAGATTGCATTTACATCACCTAAAAGTGTTCTGTTATTTATCAGTTTTTGTGCAAATAAGATTCTGGCGCCGTAGGACACATGAAAATGCCCCTTCCAACATTAGAAATGAAATTCAGATAGAAAAGAGATTTTGCTGAATACTGTCTCGGCTTATAGATAGTTCCCGGTCGCTTTTCCATCTAGCAGTTTTTAGAATCTATCTACACGAGAATGAAACCAAAACCGGCAGCTTATAGACAAAATAATGTTCATTTTCACCCTAAGACTCTATTAATAATATTTTCAAGATGCATGCTGCTTTTATTTTGCAACTGTTACATTCCTGTACTTGTGTTTCATTTTGGCCAATTGAGAACTACATCTATGGATATTCATTGCCTTGTTTAGAGTTTTTGATCAATAATCTAATGTTTTGATGTATAGCTCATTCAAAGCTATTTTTTTTATTTGTACCACCAAAAATTATTTTCTCATTTTGAAGTTTTTTGAAACAGACTTTGTCCTAAAGTACTTCTTACAATGCCACAGCCTCAGCTTGTTCCTGATCTTCTCATAATTTTATGATCAACTTTTAGTCTCATGTTCTTATGAATAAAGAGTATAGTGTCATCGTTGTAGGATTCATTGTTTCAAGACTATTTAGTAGAGGGTTTTTCACATTTTTAGAAATCATAACGGAAAAAGATAAAGAAAAGCTACAAAATATCATGGCTTATGGCAAGGACAGTCCCCAACACGAAAAGAGTAAGCGCCCGGTAGCCGTCGAAGATGAGCCGGAAATTGACAGATTTGAAGAGGGTAAGTCCATAATGAAATTGCCTTTCATCATTAAACTATTTTTCGATAATTTTAGTTGTACATGAATTATGTTTTTAGTTTATTTGCAAGCAACTATGTAAGCTCACAACTAAAATATGCAATACTGAAAAGTTACTGATTGTGATTAAACTAGTTTCCTATTTGTCTGGCACCTAAAAGCTCATCGAGAGGGCTGCTGCCAGTCAATTCGTTCAGCATGTGATAAAAATGTTTCTTTTGAGCCTATGCAATTGACTTATAAAGCAAGCCATAGTACAAAAACAGAATTGTCAAAATTTAAAAAGGACTAACTGATTGCGATGGTTAAACAACAAAAGTTTTCTATTCTTGTTAAAATATGGGATGACTGGCTGTCCATATTACTTGTCTATATTCCCTTAGTCTCCTAACTGGAAATGGCAACACACTTCATTAACTGCTTCTCGCAAGAGAACGTAATCGATTGACCAAGTCGTTCATTGCTCATTGTGGCTCACATGATTGTTTTCTTTAGCTTCAATCTTCTCAAAACCTCTCTCCAATGTTTATAAGAAAGATACTATTGAGCAATGATCCCTAATTACTTCATGCAGCAACATACGACCTGATCATAGCTTATTCTTTTCTTTGCTTGACCAGCAAGAAACCTCCACCCCCACCACGGAAGAAACGTAGATCGTGGATCATTATCATATCTTTCGGAACGCTGTGCTAGATATGACAAGAATCATGTTAAACCTTCCCTTTAAATTCTGCATCAGTTGGCAAGTTTTCAAGTAATATGGACAGCCAGTCACCCAATATTATAACGAGGATAGAAAATTGTTTTTCAGCTGAGGCTCTAAAATACTAGCCACCAATCAATGCAAATATCTTGGTATTGAAATAAATAGCACCCGATTATGACTATTAGGAAAGATACGAGATTTGCTCGATCTGAAGTCCGCAAAAACTGCGTATGAGTCAATGATTCTGCCAACCTTCACTTATTGCGGAGTTTTGATGTTTTGTAATTTTTTCTCAAGTAATGGCTGAAATAGAAGACAGAAGGAAATTTTTGGATGAAATGGAGGCACTTGGGCAGGGAAAAAAGTACCGAACAATAATAGCAACAGAAATATCACAGGTAAATCGCCAATTAACTAATAATTTTGCAAGGTTTGGAAATTTCAAGCAACGCCAGGAATTTTTAACAGCAATTCTTTTACTGTTTCTTAGGAAATTTTTAGGTTATGTCATCATTGCTGTTTGATGTCATCTCCCTTTTCTTCTAAACTCCTATTTCTTGTGATATATAATTTTTTTTCTGTGATATATAAATACTATAAACAGAAAGCAAAAATTGACTTTTTGAATGGAATCGCTATTATCACCAGGTCTTCATTTTCTGTTGGTCTCCTATGAAAGATTTTCTACATTAAAAGAACGGTCTTTAGTAACGAATCAATTCCCATGAGCTAAAACCGGCAAGTCTTTGTTATAGTCATTCTAGAAATGATACGTGAGGACAATCAAAAATAGCCAGTTTTGTTACAAAAGTTAACATTAACAGTTGAAACTTTTTACAATCTACAATTCAAATTTACAATTTACATCTTGCTACGTTATTTCTAACATCGAAGGGTTAGATGCTCGATAAACATCTTTATGCGTCCATTTTCATAAATATTTTTCTAGTGGCATTTTTAATCGGCAGCTTAGGAGAATGTAAGCGTCTTGGACTTACAATTTTGCCCCTAGTTTCATCCCTTATTTAGCACCATTCATTCAAACATTTTAAACTTTTAATTATAGTCTTATATATTATGTTAACTGCTTGATTTGAAGATACAAATTAACAGCGAACATAAAATCCAAAGCTTTTCAGCACAGATCTATGACGCATAGATACTCCAATAGTATCTATATTGCTGATAATTACATGAAATGAAATGTAAATCCTTGGAAACTATATGTTTTCAGACTTACTAACTTTACAAGTTTTCCGATTATGTCTTACCACATTCGTCATTATACGTTGATCTTTCCATATGGTTGATAGTTCTGTGAAAAATCTAAACTGTTATCGATTTTTTTGACAAAGTCAAGATAATCCATGCTCTAAAACAGAGAAAAAATGTAGAAATAGGAAAGGAAGATCGCTAGAAAAGAGTTAGATTCCCTATTGTATTTGGGGTTGAATTGCATACTGAATAAGAAATACTATGATATGTACACAGGCCTACATTTGCTTTTTTTATTGATTGATCCGTCATTTTAATAGTTTGATTTCTTCCAAGCTGTATTTCTAATTGGGCCTGAAAAAACTTTTTTCTCTACAGAAAATACGGGAACTTGAAATCATCGACAAAGAACGAAGTGAAGAATTAGAATCAAACTCCGTTTCTTGAGAGGGACGTTCATTCGATTGCAGCGGAATTTTTAATCCTCGAAGAATTAAGTGGGACATTCTTGATAGATAACTGAAATGTAATTTTGGGACGATTTCTGTTTCTCTTCTGATTGTAAAAAGTGGTGTATCCTTCTTTTCTCATACTTAGTGTTTGCAGTGTTTAGTCATAGTAGCTCGCATGACATTATTTTTTGTGTGATTCAGATGTATGTAGGTATTTCACAGGTTGCTGTAGGTATTTGCGAAGGATAAACCTTCAGGATAGTCCATAGTTAGAATCCTTTAAGCAATATTGTCTGCACAAAATGCTCGTGACTCCCGACCAGTTAAGTAGAACGCCCAATGTCAGTGTTTTATAGACAAGCTTCCCATCAATAAAAAACCTCACTAGATAAAATGAGCCCAGGATTTTGATTTTCTGTCATCCTTTATTACAATACTAATATCATAGAGAAGAGAGAGAAAGAGGTCTGGTGGCCCAGTAAAAAATGCATTGACTTAGCACAGGCGACAAGCATGCAATTGCCTGTAACACATCTGGCCAACCCTGGAAAACCCTGGTATCAGTAAAACAACTAAACAATTAATCTGAAAAGAACTGAAGACATAGTTAGAAACAATGTGGCACTGCCGATTCATTTCTTATCACCAAATACCTGACAATTTGATGATGATTTGCATGTGAACCGTTAATAACGGCTTAGTGAACCGTAAATTTTGAAAAATTTATGCAAAGATTTAAGCAAACCATCTGATTACAAAATTCACCCTTGCTAACGGCACTGGGAACGTCCGAATCAAAGACAGCGTACACTCAAATAGCTCTTCCTTATTTGTTCAAAATGTTTGTCAAAAATGGATTTATGAAAAGATTTCTTTAAAGCGAGAGGTTAGGTTTAGAAACGAAAAAGGAGACTCTCGCCCAAATCGGGAGAATTGGAACCTTTGTGCCTAGAGCGCTGAGAAATAGCCGAAACCCCATTATCATATGAAGGCTTTATTTGATCTACATTAAGGCTGCATTTACACGATACCGGATTGCTTTTCATATCGGATTGGTCTCAGCTATCCGATATGAAAAGCATACCGTTTAGACTGCGTTTACACGATACCGGATTGATCTTCATACCGTTTTCATCCTGTTTACACGACAACGCTCCGCTATTCACTGTGCAGGATACTTCTTTTAATTTGATTTCGTTAGTCTACTGAGGAGAGGAAGGTCTCGGGAAAAAGTATCACTTTAGTAAATAATATGTAGGAAATTGTGAGCGCTCCTTCCTATCTACCTCTCTCTCTCTTTCTCTCATTCTTTTGTATATAGTGGTTGTTGTTGCGATTGCACTTAGTTGAATAGAAGAATTCTTGCTTACGAACTCGAAAGGAACGACGTGAACTATATCTCTCAAAGAACTCTCGATAGATGCGAACGCCAATCACGAGGAAAGAGGATCGATAAAACGATTCACATAAAGAACAATATTTAGAATAGTACCAAATCAAGACCTTATTGGATAGAGGTGACTTCGTTAAAATTCTTAAGTTATTTCTTTTCTCTGGACGTTAATTCTTCTCTCTGATTAATAATTCGTGGTTGTTCATGTCATTATATTCGCTGATGTTTATACTTTATCTTGCATTTTAATTCGAATAAGAAATTATACAGTCCTCTGATTTTGATATAGAATTTGATCTTCAAGACGAATGAACCTATATGGTAATTCTAACCTGCCAAGTAAATAGATCTTAACTATTTACATCTTGGTAGTGATTCCTGGCAGGTAATTCTCTATAGAATATGAGTGCTGGCTAGTGGCATAGAAGAAGAGAATGTAAGCAGAAGGGGGAGGCAGAAGTTGAATTGCAGCATATGCCAGTGATTGCCTTTTCGAGGGAAGGGATTGAAAAGATGTAATGTCGAATGATGACAAGATAAAATAGTTTTTGGCGAACGTTACCCGAAGAGTAAAGATGTAGAATCCGTTGATGAGAACTTTCCTTGAGATTCAGAACGAGGTTCCGGAGTGAAAGCGTATCGGATTCAGGATTCACCCGTTTACACGAGATGGAATGTGGTACGGGATGTATCGGATCACTTTTCATACCACTTTCAGTTTCACAGCGGAGTGATTTCACTCCGTAAAAGTGGTACCGGACGTATTAATGCGGGGACGTGTAAACGGGACCCCTATCCGATATGAAAAGTAATCCGATACGTAAGTAATCCGGTATCGTGTAAACGCAGCCTAAGCATTTATTACAAGTCATAGCCCTCCAAGAGAACCCAAGCAAGAAATCGGCAAACCCGTCGCATTTCGACCTGCGAATGAATTCGAACCATGGCGGCAAAATGAATGAAATGCGACCAGACAAGATAAATACCCTGTTCTACGCAAAATCTAACAGAATATCATTGTACAAGATGCATCAAATAAAACTCTGATTTGTGCTGAAGCAAAGCATCACAAAGTTAAAGACAATCTGTCTCGTTGTGGATTGGTTAACGAGAACAATAGCTGGAACAATGGCCTAAACACGATTCCAGCGCTCCGCCATATCTTTTACAATGCGATAAATTAAAGGGGGATTAGAAACAATAAAAATCCCTTTGTTCTTATAATAATTAATCAACGTCATGACAGTTTACAAATTTCAGAGCATTTTATGACGTCGTCTGGACTCCCTACCAGTACCCTATTAAAGTGAACGCAGACTTAACTTGGAGAGATTATAGCAGACTGCAATACTTAAAAGACTAATATTAATTGATGCAAAGTAGCTCAATATAAAAAAAATTGAATGAAAAATTAGTCGACCTTAGGCCTTAGGTTCTTGTAAAATTTCTCGAATATCGACCAAATTTCCTATTCGCCTATCAGTTTGTAATCTAGCAATTTGTGAATACTGCTGAGTAAAAATCTATTAGAATATTTGAATAAATTATCACAGAAATTGTTCTCGCGGGGCCCTGCATTCTCTCCTGTTTCTGATCCCTGTCAGGCCCACCCACCCTTGCAAGTTGTTGTTGTGGTACGCTGCAAAGTGTAGAACGAGGCCGAGAAATGGCGCTGGTTTATCTTGAAAAAGAGATCTCGCCTGACTTTACTTACATGAAGCAAGTCTATTCGTGATTAGTCGCTGCATGTAACGTAAGTCTCACACATCTTTAAAATATTTAGATATTAAAGTATTGAGGTAAGTATCAGGCCAAGGTCTGTGAAGAGGAGGGCAGATTTCTCAAACATCCTAACAGGGGCGTTGCACACCCCCTCATAAACCTACATGTCATAAAATCAATAAAGCTTGGTTTCCACTATGAATTAACGTGAGTTAATTTGAGATAATTTTGTGATCTGACATGGTTTAAAAATTATCTCATAGTGGAAACGGTCATTAAAAATTATCTCATGAAAATTAACTCGTGTTAACTCACGTTATCTCATAAGCTTTCAATAGGATAAGGAGGATTGCTTTATATACAGAGTTAGATTGACAAAATGTACTGCAGAGGTTTGTGACAGCAGCTAAATAATTTCAGGTAATAATTCTTTAATCAGGTAAATTTGTAGTCCCCCCAAGGAGGCTTGCCTCGCGACGACCCTGCATCCTAATTCATTTTCGCAAAGAATTCGGTTTTAACTTTTTAAGGTGAAGAAGACAAGAAGATTAATAAAGTAAAATCTTGGCGCTTTTGTCAATACTGCCTACTAAAGATTATTTTTAATGAATGAAAACAAAACTTACTGAAGGACACAGAATTATTTAGGGGAGGGGTGTTGCACCAAGGGTGGAATCCATGTAAACCTCCTGCCAGATATTAGATATGTAATTCGTGAAGCTGTGCTTGAAATTTTATTGCGTAATGCGCATGCGCTATGCACAGAAACTGAAAATAGCTTAAAAAGTTATCCAAATTAACATTATCAACATAACAGAACATTTTTTAAAATATCAAAATAATTTGTGAATAATAAATCAGTAAATGGTAAACATGAAGAAATAGTGTTATTGTTATTTTGACTTTTTAATTTTCATTGCTAGAAACAGACAAGAAGGAATTTTCAGTTTGTCGAAACAGTTATTTTGATATTCAATTTTGCGTTTACACTGTCCATTTACTTGAATCCATTGAATTGAACCATTTAAATGCAAAGGGCATTTCAGCCTTTAGTAAAGCAGAAATTCTTTGGAAAATTTATTGAAAAAACTATTTTTCAAATAATTATAATTCCCGAGAAAGTATACTGTGCTGTTTCCATTAAATCCTCACAGCTAGAGCAGGTTGCGTCATCATGAAACTTACACAAATGGGGGCCTTTGAATGGCTGGCTGGCCGAAATGTAAGCAAACCATCTACTTTGCTAGACAAACTGTACCCCTGCTCACGTAACTGAAAAGATCTGAATCAAGAGCCAATAGCAAGTACATTTCACCAGTTATGTTTTAAACATCCAAAAGAAGGATACAACTATTCGATGGCAGGGAAACTTTACATAGCAATCTTTCCAAATGGGATTTTAGAACATATTTATAAAAAATTCTTGATAGTGTGAGGTTAGGTTTAAAAGTGGGGAAACAGAACGAGAGAAGAACTCTCAAGTTAGGACATTCCCTCCCAAATCGGGAGAGTTGGAACATTTGTTGTTAAGAATTTGCATTTGAAAGCAGGCCCATCGAGAGGAAGGCAAGAAAGGCAATTGCCTCTGAGCCTGTAAATAAAGAGGGACTCACTGGTAATTAAACTACCTTTATTTAATGGTAGTTACAAATCATATTTGCACTGGGTTAGTTTAAAAATGCTTTACAAATACAATTTCAAAGTAAATAAAGAAAATTTCATGCATTTGACATATTAGCAAGGCTCATTAATAATATTTTGTGCCTGCAAGCATAAAGGCCAGTAAGAATGTGCCTGTATGTAAAATAGGATGCAATTTATAGTCAGGTATTGATAAATTGAGAACCTCCCAGTTATGCCAAGTACTGTTACACCAACTTACCTTTTTCAAAAGCAGATACCAGATCAATATCATCATGAACTACATGTAACTACCTGTAAGACTGAACAGATAACATAGTAAATTCTACTAGCGTCATATTTTGTACATAAGAAAGGGAATGATCCAGTTTTTATCCTGGGATTCTTTTGAGTTGTCAAGTAGCCCTATCCCTGTTATTGATTCATCAAATAGAGACATCCTCACAATTTCTTCAAAGGCTTAAAGGCTTTACTTTTAAAAGAGCAGTTTTGTTTAGAACAGCTTCTTTTTAGGTTTGTGGATTTTAGGATTCTGCTTTCGCTTCCTTGGTAAAGGTTGCAAGGATTTTGACATTAAAGATTCTATCCCCAATTACTTTCGCTGAAATGTCCTATTAAACATAGTGTCTTATAAGGATACTCCTTTTTTTAGCTTTGAGTTTATCATGCTTGTAAAACTTAATTATGAAAGTGCTTTCTCTTCAAAAATTGATCAAATAGAGGCTTGTTTTTGTTGTCAAAAATTGTCAAAAATTTTTGTTTTTGATAAATTCTTTAAAGGTTTACCTTGAAATTTTGCTCAAAATCGTCAGAAATCAATAGCTATAAAATTCAAAGGCTTCAAGAATTTAGCGTCCTTTCTTCAGCCTACTATGCACAAATGAGTTTTACAAGTCATAACATAATACTCTGAAAAAGCGATACAATAATTGCAAGTGATCTCTTCCACCAAGAGATATAGAGGAAAAGAGACAAACAGCCAACTTGATTTTTGAGAATCAAATTGGGCCTTAAGAGTAAGGACCTTCACTCATTTTGGTAATAAAGACTTGCAACCAACTACCTTTTATATTCTATTTGACCGTTCAATTCCAATACCAAGAAAGATGTCTAAAAAAAGCAAGACTTTGATACAATAAATGTAAATAAAAATCGATTCAGAAATGTGCCTGCAGAAATTTTTGAGAATGAGCTTTTGTGCATGTGAACACAGCTTGCACAGATTAATGAGGTCTGCATATTAGGTTTTTTACTTTTGGTGAAAAGGTGCTGAAGCATAGGATCTGCCTCTGGACCTGACATGGCTCTCAGCGATTTTAAAGCTCTCAACTCCAAGAAACGATAGACAACTTTTAATAATATACAGTTACTAAGTATATACAGTGCCTAGGGCCAAAGTAAGTGTAAAACTGTTGGAGGTCGTAAAAGTGTGAATTCTTCAGTACAACTTTTCAAAATTTTAAGTATGATTTAACTTACACTTACAATTTTATCCAATATTATCTCTTAAAAATCAGAGGATATTCTGAAAATAGAAAGATTGCATCTATATTACCGAGGGCTGCAATCCCTGCCCCAACAGGTTCTGCTATATACAAAACTTTCTATCTTGCCAGAAACTTTCATATGTAAACTTCAAAAGCAGCACATTTGCATCAAAACTGATGGCTTTGTTTATCTTTGACTGTAATTGCGATGAATCTGATTGTAAAATTTGAATTTGAAGAAAGAGTAGTAACTACAATAAAATAAGTGGTTCCGCGGTACAGGTTCCAACTTTCAAGGAGATAACATACATTTCAAACATCAAACATTTAATCGATCAAAATCGCTACTTTACTTCAACATCTGTAACATACTAACTGGTTACAATGAGTCAACGTATATATGGTTATCAAAATAAACTAATAACAAACTGTAGTTAGTGTTGGAAATACAATCAAAAAGAAATAGTTGAAGTAAATATGATACACATTAAATTTCCAAAGGCACAATATAAAAGAACTGTGCAATGCATTTTGGTTAATTAGTCTCTAGTTAGTTATAAAACAGATATGTGCAGTTACATAAGCCTACACAGTAACAAAAAACTTGCACAAAAAATAGGAACTTGCCTGCGGCTTGAGTCAAGTACTCTTTGGAAGTCAAAGAAGGTGCTGCTGTTCTCATTTCCATTGGTTCATTGTTTTCCAGTATAAAAACAATAGCTTATTGGCTTATTTGCCTTTTGAACACAATGATAAGACAGAGCAGGGGAGACAACAATTTGCAGTACAAGACATGACACAGAACCACAAATTAAATTTGCTTAATGATCATTTACTTAGCAGGCTGGAAAGGCAAAACATTTACATCAAACTTTATATCCTGTCACGGGCTGGGCCAAAACAGGCAGTTGGCCCAACAATCTTTACGCCAATGCATGGTTTTATCTTAGTTCTACACCAGTACTCCAAGGATATTGATAACTCCATGCTGGATATCTATGGCTTAAGTTACACGAATTCCACCCTGGTGTCAAATTCCACTCCCTGCTAAATTCGTACCTGACCACACTAAAAACACAGGCCAGTATGGATTCCATGAAAACTGCACTCTCAATAAATTTTTGTAATATTGCCAGTGCACTCTTGCACACTCTTTATATTGGTTTGGTTGTAGGTGTGGCTTAAAATAAAAACTTTTTCAACTATAACAAAATGAATTTCTAAAGTTTTTTGTCACTGAGATTGGAGAAAAGTTTGTCATTCTAAATTAAATGATCTTTAGATCAGGGCTGCGAAAGTTTTAGTGGCCCTGGGGCAAAGAAAAAAATGCATGGTCCCTTGTGAGCAAAGCAAGCAAACATTTTGAGCAGGTTCTTTAGATTATCTTAAATACACTTCAGAATATTTTTTGCAGTCGTTTTCTTGCAATTGTTTAAAATTGGTTTTGATAGATAAAAACACAACATTTCAAGTATGTTCCTTGTTATCAAGTGTCTAGAAAAAAAACGAGTCCAGCAAAGAGAAGGCAAGTTTGTTCAATGATGTTCTCTTATCGGAACTTAACCTGAGTTTCCTTTTTTGATGAAATATGTTTAACAATACAAGTGCGCTTCTGCTGTTGCTTTTGATAATCCATTGTTTGCAATCATGTGACAATCCTCTAATGAAATTATATCAGTCTCAGCCAATTTATTACACTTATGTTCAAAAGTTTTAGGACAAATTCTAAATTTTTAAAACACCACGTTCAAAATGGCAGCACTTTTTGTCAAGTTTTCAACCATACCAAACATTTGAATGCACGGATTGAGTGGAATAGGCTTTTTTATGGCAAATCTTTGCATAAAATACCTGAAAATGTTGCTGATGCCATATAAATGCCATACAAAGTTTGAAATGTTGCACAGAAAAGTTTTCGTTTGTAGAAACATAGAGCATTTCTAGAGGAGAAACTGTGACAAATGAGAGGAGAGATGCTGTTAAAGATTCACAGGAAAGAGGACTTTAATTTTTGAATAAATTGTTGAGCAAGTTTGATGCAGTCACACAACAGATGCGAGAATTTTTTCTTGAAAAATATTTTCTCAAGAAATTGAGCAGTAGTTTTGTAAAAAAATTGATGTAAGAGAGGGAAAAAATTGGCCTGTTTCACTTCCAGCATTTACATTTAGGGAAACTAAAGGACATAAAACGTGAGGCTGAGCAAGTTTTCTCAGCTCAAAATCTATCCACACAAATCAGAATGAGGGTCTTTCACAAAGACAAAATAAAAAGTTACCTGAGTAGAAGAAAACCATTTTTACAACAATTTATTTCCAAACAAAAAGAATTCAATTTTTTCATGGCGTCCATCAAGTCCAGATTTGCAAATCTTTTAAAATTTTTGGCTTCATATGAAAAAATATTACGAACCATGATTTAAGTTATTCTTGTAGAATGAAGGAATTATCTATTCAAAGAATTCTTCAGGTTTTACATGAAATTCCGCAATAATGCTTTGCCCAAATGTATGCAACCTTTTCAAGAAGGCTAAACACAAGTGCATTTTAGAGGCTGAAAATTGATTGATGGTTGTTTAACTTTCGATACTCCACTTAAAAACACAGTCAATTAATACAACAATAGGTTTCTAGAATTCTTGCATAATTTTCCCTCTTTTGAGATGGTGCAATAATTATGCGAGGGGAGTTTACAGAAGCTATTTCCATTAAATTTTTTAAAGACATTGTTGAAGTTCAAAGCAAATTAAAAAATCATCAACTATAAAAATCCTTTATGCCTTAAAAGGTAACCATGGAAGTTTTAAAATCAAGAACTAAGTTACGAGAAGTTTTTGCAATTTCTTTCAATGAAAATATCTCAAATAGTTGTTGTAAAATTGCATCAATTTTTTGGTGTGTAAAAGGTTTGGCAGACGGAAGAAGTTTTGGAAGCCGAGAGAAATCTTTCGTGAGAAATGGCTAATAGATAGATGTTGATCTTTAGTTTGTCATGTAAAAGAAAAGCTAAATTTAGAAACATAAGCAAAAGTATAGCTATAATTATCATGAAAATATAAGTTTTCTAGCCTTATAAGATGAAAATGTTCTCTCGTAGATATCAATTGACATAAACCATTACAGTGGCTTCTTCTTTGGTTATAAACAGTTTTGAAAGTAGCTTGAGTGAATATAATAATTTAATGAAATTGTAACGCTTTCATTGATTCATTAAACCTTATTCAGAATTTTATGGTTTCTTTATAATTTTAATTTTCTTTGTAAAATTTTTTATGTAAAAGTGAATCTATTATCAAAGAAAAACTTTTATCAAAGGTGTCCCAGTACATTTTGATCATAGATGTAGATGGTTTGAGTAACTGACAAAGGTTTTTCAATAAAATAACAGGAAATAGTAAAATGATCTTATGATGAAACTCTCTAATGACTGGCACCTAAAGACAGTGATTTCAACTTTTTTTTAACAAAGAAAAATAATACATATAATAAAGGGGTTAATTATCTCAAATCACAATATTCCAAAGTGCACGCTTATTGCTATGTTGCCCCAAAGCAATAAAATGCTTTAAAACTAGCATGGCTTGTTAGGTGTATGGATAACTTATCATAAGTTTAGGTGTGGCAGTAACAGATGAAAAAGTACGTGCCTATCTATTCCATTATACACCACAGCATCTAGGTCAAAGCTTTTTTAATAATCAAAACTTTTTGCACAAAGAGATCTGGAGCATCATGTTTACAAACAAACCTGGTTTTAAGCTCAAAAATAATTATAAACCAGCCCTCTTTCTTATCTGAGTCAGGCAGTAAGAATCAACCAGTTTGCAGAGTGCAGAGAAAGAAAGTCTTTAAAAACGGAAACACTAGTAGGTACAGCATTCCTTTTACCAGCTTGTTATGAACCATATGTTCGCTTTATCAGCGTATTATCAATACACTTTGGCTCATTTTCCGGTCTTAATGGAAACAATTCTATGCTCTCATCAGTAAGAAATTATGTTTCATATGTTTATGAAGCTTCATATGTGCCCAAAAGGGCGAGCAACTTAGTTTCTCAAGGCCTTTATTTGTAAGAAGTGTGAAAGTTTTTAATCTGTGACATGAAGTTAGACATAAACACAAAGGCAGCTCATCTTGCTGACGTACGTTCGGCGTTTTTGGCAGGGTATGGATTGACAAAGAAGCTAAATCCTGGAAAAATAGCTATTAGCTGCAATCAATGGAACATGCCACGCCCACAAAAAGCAGAGAAGCCCATATTTGCAGAGCCGATTGCTGAGGTAAGCTCGATTTTTATAACACTGCAGGCATGCTCGTTAACCAAACTATTCTTAACAGCTTAGAAGAGAATGTGCGTTACCCTTGCTTCTGACTGCCTTTATCGATTTTTCAGGAGTGACTTTTTGAAACATTTACATCAATTGGATGCTTTTGAATTTATATTCAGATAGAAAAATCTCAAAAATAATATTAAACTTCAAGGAGCCGACAAGTGTTTCTTTTTTAACAATGAGATTTATTTTCTGCTAGCCAATTCAAGGAACAACGATTGTGGTACTACATCCAGGCTCCTCAACTTTGCAGCTTGGCAGAGCAACCGATCATTTTCCGCAGAGTTTGCCCCATGTTATTGCCTATCGATGCAAAGAGGACGGTGCATTTTGCGTAAAAGAAACAAATTCCCTTATTCGTAATGGTATTTGGGTGAGTAATGTGTAATTTTTGCGTTTGGAATGTCGCAAATAGAGGATTTATGATCATGTCAAGAACATTTTAAAATTTATGTTTAAATATTGAAATGAACACTTTTTATACCTAATATAGTGATGAACTTAAAGTCTTTTTATTACTTTACTGTATGACAGTGCCACCCAATCATTATCTCATTTGCATGTCCATCTAGTGATAACTCTATAAAGCCAAGATAGGTTTTGTCTGTATTTTTTTTCTAAGAAGAACTCTTCCGTTTGAGCATTTGTGAAATCAGGTTTCTGATTTATTAAGCATCCCGATAGTGAAGAGAAACGGCAAGGTGCTCTCCAGGCAACCAACCAGCTTATCAATGCTATGAGAGTCAGTTTTGGCTACAGAAGACCGCATATTTCAATAGCTCAGGTATCAAAATTTGAAAAGATCTGTTACATCTTTCCTGTATTATTTAAGTAAAAGAATATTCTTTGGTAATTTTCAAAGCAGAAATCATTCCTTAAAAAATATTTTAATCAACAGTCCTTCTTTAGGCTTCCCAAGGTGTAGATAACTTTTGATAGAAAGTTTTCTAGTTTTGTTCTGTATATCTTTTTCCCTTTTTCCTGAAATATCCTGATTTGCTCCTGGTTTTTCGTCTTTTTGTTGTTATGTTTACCCTAGATTTATTTGGTCCAACAAATGAATAGAATAAGCTATAGTGTCAACGATATAGTTTCAAGAAACGGCTTGATCGCAAGTCAAGAAGCCTAAAATGTCCTTTGTTCAAAAGCTAATGCGGAACGAAGGCATTACAAGACAAAGGAATCGAAGCATGTGACCATTCATCTACGTCCTCCATTTATACCTCTTTTATGTGCTTGGATTCCCCATTTATCTTTTCACTGAATTAGTTGCCTTGAACATTTGCGAAATTATGAATTTTCAATGCAAATCTGCATTTTAAGTATCGAGGTGTATCTATGCGTTTACTCCTTCAAATACTTACTGTCACTAATTTGTGAGTTTGAGAGCCATGATATGACGATTTACTATGTGAAATTAAATCTGCAGATAGCCTCATTTAACAACAAAGTCATTCCTGATACAATTCAAGGCGAAAGTGGAGTTTGCTGGAGTGATGTCAGCGAAAACCCTGAAATACTAATAGGAGAACAGGTTGGTATGTTTGTATCTTCTAAGAAATTCTAGCTTACCACTTACCATTCAGTAAGACCGTCTCTTAAAAGGATGCTTACGGGTTTATCTCTAGATCTTTTTTAATTTTGCTCTTGTGCTATTGCAAGTTTCCCCCATACTTCAAGGTATCGCTAACACAGATCTACGAGACATAGCTTTGTTTTTAAAGGCCGTTCGAAGTCGTTCATGGTTTATTCGTGTCTGGATGTTTCCTTCACTAGCTTAAAGGTCAATGCTTTCTTCCGTGTATAAACCTCTCCATTCATGATTCTTTTTTTAACAACCATTTTTGACAGCCTCCTTTAACAAGCACTATAACAGATTGTAAAAGTATTCCCATATTGAACATGCCAGTTTTCTTAAATTGGTTTGGCTTGCAATGGCAATCGAAAAGTCTTTTGTTTTATAGTAACTTCTTATATTGATATACTTTAGCATGTTTGCATCCATAACGAGGCTGAATTTCAATTGTTTACACGTCATCAAATCATACTTGTCCTTGAATGGCATTGATTTTAAACGAATTTGCAATTGTGATTGACTATTTCATCCGTTCATATTTTTGGTACCCAGGGAGACTTATCCCTGAAAGGAATTGGTTACCTACGGGTTTGCAATTGCTATTGAATTTGAAATTTTAGTGAATTTATTGTTATGCGTTTCATAGCCTTTTTCTCTTTTTTTTGTTCTCAATGAGTTTCATACTTAGGCGCAGTATCTGGACCCTAATGCGCCATACGAGACAACTTGGCCCATTAGAAATGGAACGTTGAATATTCACAATGGAATTGGAGGGTCTCTTTCATCTGTTAGCTCCAAACTAGAAACATTATGGTCCCTTGCGATTCAAATGTTTCTTGATATCCCAGCAAAAGATTTCCAGTATTACAGAGTTGTACTTGTTGTTCCTGATATTGTAAATCGCCATCATTTGAAAGAAATATATGACATACTCCTAAACAGACTCGGTTTTTCTGCTGTTATTATGCACCAGGTATTCCCCGCTTTTAATTTTTTGCAAGATTTGACTTATTTTAATGCCTTAAGTAGCCAATCAATGTGGGCCGTAATAGTCGAAATGAATAAATTTTTGTTGGCGATCTTCTATAACTGTTATATTTTTTGATGTCTATTTTATGTCGATTGAAAATTCTAACTTTTTGCCATAATATTGTAATCATGAAAACTAATCTAATATCGGATTCGAACCGACTGCTAGACGGCGATTCATGGTGCCATTTGCTAGTTAGTTGTAAAAGTGACACGGTAAGTTGAAAGCAGTCTTAGATTCTCTTTTGTGTTCATGAAAAACTCTTCCTACTTTGGAAACCACAATCACCATAATCATCATCGTTATCATCTTTAAAGCCACGGTCAAACGAACTGAACGTTTCATTGAGCGACTCTCAACATTTGCAAATTTGCTCAGCGCAGCTCAACGTTGCTCTGCTTTGCTCAGCGTTGCTCTGCTTTGCTCAGCGTTGCTCTGCTTTGCTCAACGTTGCTCTGCTTTGCTCAACGTTGCTCTGCTTTGCTCAGCGTTGCTCTGCTTTGCTCAGCGTTGCTCTGCTTTGCTCAACGTTGCTCTGCTTTGCTCAACGTTGCTCTGCTTTGCTCAACGTTGCTCTGCTTTGCTCAGCGTTGCTCTGCTTTGCTCAGCGTTGCTCTGCTTTGCTCAGCGTTGCTCTGCTTTGCTCAGCGTTGCTCTGCTTTGCTCAGCGTTGCTCTGCTTTGCTCAGCGTTGCTCTGCGTTGTTCTGTGTTGCTCTGCGTTGCTCTGCTTTGCTCAACGTTGCTCTGCTTTGCTCAGCGTTGCTCTGCTTTGCTCTGCGTTGCTCTGCTTTGCTCAGCGTTGCTCTGCGTTGTTCTGTGTTGCTCTGCGTTGCTCTGCTTTGCTCAACGTTGCTCTGCTTTGCTCAGCGTTGCTCAGCGTTGCTCTGCTTTGCTCAGCGTTGCTCTGCGTTGTTCTGTGTTGCTCTGCGTTGCTCTGCTTTGCTCAACGTTGCTCTGCTTTGCTCAGCGTTGCTCTGCTTTGCTCTGCGTTGCTCTGCTTTGCTCAGCGTTGCTCTGCGTTGTTCTGTGTTGCTCTGCGTTGCTCTGCTTTGCTCAACGTTGCTCTGCTTTGCTCAGCGTTGCTCAGCGTTGCTCTGCTTTGCTCAGCGTTGCTCTTCGTTGTTCTGTGTTGCTCTGCGCTGCACAGCGTTGCTCTGCGTTGCTCAGCGCGCTGCTCATTCCAGGGAGGTCGAACGAACCGAACATGGCTCAAAATATTTCTTTGAACGAAGGGTGATTTTTATAATCGTTCCGTAACACCAATAAAAAATTAAATTTATTGCAAAATAGTGCAAACAAAAGGCCTTCTTGGTTGAGCCAAAAGTTGACAAATTTGCCAGCTTTCATGACGTTTTCAAACGGAAAGAACATACTGCAATATTGATTTCAGAGACACTGATAGATGACGACTATGAAAACAGCTGAAAGAAGAGCGAGAAGGCAAATACATCCCAGAGAGCAATCTCCCCAAGGTGTACTTGGCTGCCATGAAATTTAAGTGATTCCTTTCACGATCTTGATGTCCCAATGCACGAGTTTGAGGAAGTCCATTGGGTGGTTAAACGAAATATGCATCGCTCAACAACACCTCGAGCAGAAGAAAAGGTTGAATGACTCTCTCAACATTTTTTAACCCGCCGTCGCCGAGCAATAATGAACATGTCAGAGCAAAGTTGAGCAAATGGTGAAACGAATTGAACTTTTCACTGGACAGGAATGTTGAGCGTGGCTCAGTGAAATTTTCAATTCGTTTAACCGGGGCTATATTTTTACGCAATTTATTAATTTATTGTCTGGTAAACAAGTATGATATTAAAGGAAGTCGGGAATCTGACAGCACAAGCTTTTTAAAACTTTGTGGCGACCTTTTTGAGCTGGAACTCAAAAATGAGTTCATTGAAAAATACTTTTCCGGTTTTCAAGCAATCCCCTTTCATTCATCCTTAAAGACTCATTGCTAACAATGAGCCATTGCGCTACGTAAGTATCCCATAATGCATTTTTAGACTGTCTAAAATCAATTAATGCCATTGTTTGGACCGTCGCCACGCTCGCAAAGGCCCATTGTTAGCAATGAGTCTTTAAAACTGTATCAACTATTGAATCGCTCTAGGAATCCGTTTGTGCTACTTTTGGCAGTGGATTGCCAAGTGCCTGTGTCGTGGATGTTGGTGATCAGAAAACAAGTATTTGTTGCGTTGAAGACGGTATATCCCTTCCTAATTCGAGGTAAGTGACGGTTTTCCCTAGACAAGTGATCAACCAGTATATTTGTCTTTCAATATGGCAAATCATAAGGAATCACTCTTGCCTCCTACGCTTGGGGTCACAAGTTCAAGCCATTTGAGGACCAGTTGATGGAAAAAACCGCCTCCACAAAATCAGTACTAGGAACCTATTTTGTTTTCGTGGAGAATGCTAAATGAATGGCTATCTCCTATAAGCCTTGTAATGTGCGTAAACCCTTCTTATTCTGAAAGAATAAAAGAATCCCGAGTTTCAGCATTCTTTTTGGCAATGTGCATTAGTTCACAGTTTTTTTTTCTTCTCAGAATCAAACTTAATTATGGAGGGAGTGATATAACCAGATGTTTCAATTGGCTCCTTCAAAGGGTATGATGATTTTGTTTAATATTATCAAACCAACTAGCCCTTTCATTTACTACTATCCATATGACCAAACCTTTCATTTTCTACTATCCATATGATCATTCTTTAATTTTTTTTACATTCCAATGCAAATTTACTAGTTACACTACCTACAAAATACTTAACGACCCTACAAGGACGATGCCACTGGGTGCAAAATACTATGACTACTCCGTGGCATCACGAACAACTAAGACAAATTACATACGAATTACCAAAGGTAAAAAACAAAGAACACAACACTCTCTCTGACAAGATGTTTGCTGCAGTTGAAGTAGTTTTGCATTATCACAGATCTCACCTCATATATAATTTGAGACAGACTTTACATATTATAGTTAACTAAATAATTGTTTGTTTACTGGAGGGGGGGATGGTGGAGGTGGCGAGATACTTTATTCAAAGCGACCAGTACAATGTATAGAACGTATTGTTAACTCAAGGATGCTTCTGTTGAGATGGTTCGGAAAATTCTTATCGCCGTACAATAAGATTTGCAACAGAATATCATTTGCAAGATTTGCGTATCTACATGGTCGTATAAAAGTGTAAATTCCATCGAGGAGAACAATCCTTCGAACACCAAAAGAGGGACAGAGCAGCAAGAAGTGCTCCGTATCCTCGATTCCATCGTTACTTAGGCACATTGGCTTTATTATATATCTAAAGATGTATTGAAATTTGTGAAAGTTTAACTTGCTGAGACCAACCCTTAGTTGAGTAAGATGAGACAGGCCATGAATCCCGATTCCCAAACACTGACTTCGTAGGGGGGGAGGGGGGCGGATCTTAGATAGCATCTTTATCTTGAAAACAGCAACAGAAGGTGACAATTTAATTTCAGGATGAAGTTTGTTCCATTTAGACAAGCAGTGAGGATAAAAATTAGATTTATATTTTTCAGTCCTTGCTCGTATTTGCCCGATCGTGTCACTTTCGCGAAGTGAATATTGCACCTGTTTGAATGGTGGCAATGGGTCCCTTGTGTAGTCAGGGGTTAAATTGTTTATGACTTTATAAAAAAACGTAAGACGTCTTCTCCATTCGCGGAGGTTTAGAGATTCCTACCCAAAGTCAAGGTGCAGCTTTTCTCGAGACGTTCCCCTCCAGGCTCCCGTTACAGCTAAGGCAGCAGAGTATTGGACAGACTCTAGCTTTTCCATTTAATTTGATAAGATGGTGCCGCCGGTAAAGTTACATACTTTAGGTGGAATGTAGTAAATAACATCTCCGTAACCTAAGTGGGGTCGAACATAGAGGTTGCATAGTTGATTTAGGGTATACCTAGGCAGATATCTGGAGAATAATCTCAACAATACCTTTCCTTGTCTTTGAGATAGCAGCCTTTATATGAGCAGAGAAAGACAAAGTCGCGTCCGAGGTGATTCCAAGGTGTTTATGTTCATCAGCTTTCCTGACTGGCATGTTATTAAATAGTATTACTAGATGATCAATCGCGGATTTTCTTTTTGAAAATATTAATTCAACTCCTTGCTTCTTTGGGTCAGGATTGAAGGACATCCTCTAATCATGAGCCTACTTGCTCACTAACTCTAGAGGTCATTGTTCATATCACTGGCAGCTGTGTTTGAGTGTTGAACTATAGTGAATAGGGACGTATCAAAGAGCTTAACTTTGCACTTTAAGTTCCCAGTCAGGTTATTTATATATACAAAGAAGAATAAGGGTCCCAGTATAAATCCTTGGGGTACACCAGCTAAAGTTTCCCCCCAGTTTGAAGCCTGCCCGTTCAGAACTGTTTGAAAATTTTGAATAGAGATGGAAGCTGGCCAGAGATGCCGCGTCGCTTTAGGTTATATCTGAGGCCATCATGCCATACTCTGTCAAACGCTTTTGAAATATCGAGATACACAGACCGAACATCAAGTGGTGGATTACAATTGAAGGCTGTAAATATTGTATGCGTTATAAAGATCAATTGGTTGATTGTTGAGTCACCTGGACGATAACCAGATTGATTTGGGTTTAGCAGATTCGCGGAGACAAGATGAGAGTAAAGAGAGTCAAATATGAGTTTTTTAGATGTTTTTTCCAAGGATTGTTAAAAGAGAAATAGGACGATAGTTCCCCTTGATATTTTTCTCATTCTTCTTATGAACAAGAACTATATTTGCATATTTCCATATTTCAGGAAATATACCTTTTCTCAAACAGTTTATGAATATAGTCTTTAGTGGTATAACCAAGGTTATATCACACAGCTTTATCATCCTCACAGAAATCTCACCCCAGCCTCGTGCTTTATTAGGATTGAGTGATCTTATAATATTCAGTATTTTTCCTAAGAAATGCAAAATCATTCAGCAGGGTGGCAGTTACTGGCTCATCCTGTGGAATTTCACTACCTGTATCTATTGTCGTACACTGGAGCAAGAAATAATCATTAAATATTTGCGCTTTTTAGGTCAAGCTAATTACAAATATATCATTTTCTAGAAGTGGCGGTATAACTGGGATCTTAGCTTTGTTAAGTATAGCGTTAATAAGAGACCAATAGGTTTTGCTGCCTGAACTAGGTTCGGCCAATGACTATCCGGCCTTTAAAAAAATCATTTTTTTAGCGTTCTCAACTAGTCTAGAACACTCTGATATCATCTTCTCTATTCCATCAAATTTATCGTTTTTCCTCAGAAAGTTCTTGACAGTTTGTGTTATCCAGGGTGCCTCATGAAGCCTCCAATTTTTTTATTTGTTCGGTATAAAGTTAAAGAAATGTTCAGAAGGACTTCATTGAGCAATTTAACTTGCTCGTTATGACATATAATATTTTCAAGATGCTTGTGCCAGTCAAACAAGTCAATGATGCTCTGAATCGCCTTGACATTAGCCTTATCATAGTCCCAAACCCTACGAGTGTAAGGGGGCGGTGCCAGGTTAGTGACAGTTAATTTTCCATAAGCTATTTATTTGGTTATGACATTGCTCATGCAGAAAGAATGAACACCGGATTCAACAAAGAGGTTAGGCTGATCGGTAAAGACCAGGTCTATGCAAGATTTAGAATCTCCCATGAAATGTGTTGGTTCTGAGATCAACTGATACATACCCAGATCTTACGTTAACGGCTGATACATACCCTTATTATTTTTTATTTCATTTTCCCACCATTGGGAAGAGCGGCAATTAAAATCACCTGTGATGACGACACAGAAGGGATTCTTGGCAGCCATTTTTGATAACATCAACTCAAAATCTGTAAATGACGACAAAGAAATTCTTTTTCTTGTTCAATTGGATCTAATATACCATTTTATTTTTATTATTTTTTATTAAATTCTTATTACAACACGATATCCCATCAGAAACCTAAGTACAAGTTGTGATAAGTTAAAAAAACTAACAACAGAAGACAACATTTTAAATTTTTTTTTAATAATATGAGTGAATTCAATTTGACGTCTGATCTTCCTGGGAGTCGTGTTTTAATTCTGGGTTCCTGAGCTCTTCAAATGAGCTTTTAATTTTCGTTTGAATTGATAGAGCGAGGGGGTCTCCCTTAGTTTTATGGTTATTTCTTTCCAAGCTTTAAGCCCGGGATGGTGGAATCCTTATTTTGTACTCTCAAGCTTAAATTTTGGGATGTCGAGATTTCTGTTGTTTCTTGTGTTATAACTAGAAATTTCAATCCTCTGATTATACTTGTTCCAGAGGCTCTCAGGGCGCTGCTTATTAACCATTTTGTGTGTCATGATAGGTCGATCAAAAGAGATGATCTGATCAACGCTTAGCCAATCACTGTTCCAGGGGTCCTTTCGTTTGGCATTTTCAATAATGCCCTATCTTGTAGACGCTGACGCGTTTGCAGCTTCGTGCAGACTACCCCAGACAACATTCCCGTATATGAGGTGACTTTTAACCAGCGCATGATAAACCACACATAGTTTAGATTGCGAAAGAATGTGCTTCAATTCCTTTAACGCAGACAGACCACTCACTACTTTTCCTTTCAAAGATTTAAAGTGTTCCTTCCAGTTGAGATTCTCGTCCACAATAACGCCTAGAGATTTAGTTTTTTCGCTCGTTTTATTTCTGTGCCATTAGGTTTCAGAGGAACTAGAGTTTCAATTCTATTTAATCTACGTGGATTGCCGAAAAGCATGAACTCTGTTTTTTAGGGTTTGCACTTAATTTATTGATCCTCATCCACTCAGAAATATTTTCTAGTTCGTCACTCATCATTTAGGTAAGCTTGTTCTTGTTAGTTTCTTCAGAGACTATTGTCATGTGTGTATCATCAGCATACATGCTTGCCGATGAAAACTTTTAACATTCTTGAAAGTCGTTAAGGTATATGATGAAGAGAAGGGGGCCTAGGTACGAACCTTGGGGGATGCCACATGCTACCCCTAAGGGCTTGGAACATTCACTATTGATTCTGCAAAATTGTTTACGTTGGGTTATGTAGGATCGAAACCAGTTAATCACATTGCCCTGCACACCAAATCTAGAAAGTTTTTCGAGCTATGTTTTGTGATCCACTGTATCGAAAGCCTTTTTAGATCCAAGAACATGGTCATATTGATCTTTTGAGAATCAATATTGTTAAGCCATTCTTAAGTATTTTTATTAAAGACGTGATAGTTGAGTGTAGCTTACGAAACTCATGCTGATTCTTTTTTAGCAGTTGTTTCTCTTTGAAATAGTCAATCAGCTGATCGTGAAATATTTTTTCAAGAATCCTTGCAAATATCGGAAGAGCGGATATAGGCCTGTAATTATTTATGTCACCTCTTGCACCTGATTTAAAGATTGGGGTCACCCTTGCAATCTTCCGAATATCTGGAAAAATACCTGCGGTGAGTGATGAGTTGGTATTAGTGTAAGGGGGAGGGCAATAAATTCGGACTGAGTATCAACTTTTTTGAAATTAGTAATCATAGAGATATTGTCACTTATTTTAGCAAGAGGGTCATCAGTCGATTTAGGCCTGGTTCAAACGTCGCGCTTCTCATGTGCCGAACCTAACTCGAGAATTAAGAACATGAGGGGCGCGACGTTTGAATCAATTTGGTACGGCAGATTTAGTTAGGAGCGGCAGACTAGTTTGGATCGGCAGAGCTTGCCGAGCTGCACGGCTCCAGCACGGCACGGTTTCACGCGTCGAACGTGTCATGTACCGAACTCAATGCATAATTATATTTAATTTATTTTCCTTCACAGAATTCATTTCCTTCTTGGAGGGCGCATGCGTTTCAAACAAATACTTGAGATTGTGCGCCTCAACCAAGATACTTCATGTAACAATCCTAAAACCCATTTGGCGCGACATGATTAAGTTCGACGTTTGAAACGGGAGTCGCGCTAAACATGCTCAAGTGTCGCTCCAAACAGAGTTAGGTTCGGCACATGAGAAGTGCGACGTTTGAACCAGGCCTTAGTTGCATTCAGGGAGTTACCAGATCAAAATGCATGTTTGAGGGAAGAGTTTCTTTGACATAGAGCCCAACACAACCCCTTTTAATATTTTGCGTGTGGTTATTTTCAATGAATGTGTAGCCATCTAGTGCTAGTGTCTCTCTATCAACGGTACTGTCAACGGTCCAACTTACTACTATCCAACTTACCAACCTTTTTATTTGCTACTGTCCATCTTACCAACCTTTTTATTTGCTACTGTCCATCTTACCAACCTTTTTATTTCCTACTATCCAACTTACCAACCTTTTCATTTGCTACTGTCCATCTTACCAACCTTTTTATTTGCTACTATCCAACTTACCAACCTTTTTATTTGCTACTGTCTAACTTACCAACCTTTTTATTTCCTACTGTCCAACTTACCAACCTTTTTATTTGCTACTGTCTAACTTACCAACCTTTTTATTTGCTACTATCCAACTTACCAACCTTTTTATTTCCTACTGTCCAACTTACCAAGCTTTTTGTTTGCTACTGTCCAACTTACCAACCTTTCTATGTACTGCTTTCCAACTAAACAATTCTTTTATTTGCTACTGTCTAACTTACCAACCTTTTTATTCGCTACTGTCCAACTTACCAACCTTTTTATTTGCTACTGTCCAACTTACCAACCTTTTTATTTGCTACTGTCTAACTTACCAACCTTTTTATTTGCTACTGTCCAATTTACCAACCTTTTTCTGCTACTGTCCAATTTACCAACCTTTCTATTTGTTACTGTCAAACCTACCACCCTTTTTATTCGCTACTGTCAAACTTACCAACCTTTTTATTTGCTACTGTCCAACTTACCAAGGTTTTTGTTTGCTACTGTCCAACTTACCAACCTTTCTATGTACTGCTTTCCAACTAAACAATTTTTTTTTGCTACTGTCCAACTTACCAAACTTTTTATTTGCTACTGTCCAACTCACCAACCTTTTAATTTGCTACTGTCCATTTTACCAATCTTTCTATGTACTGCTTTCCAACTAAACAATCTTTTTATTTGCTACTGTCAAACTTACCAACCTTTTTATTTGCTACTGTCCATCTTACCAACCTTTTTATTTGCTACTGTCCAACTTACCAACCTTTCTATGTACTGCTTTCCAACTAAACAATCTTTTTATTTGCTACTGTCCATCTTACCAACCTTTTTATTTGCTACTGTCCAACTCACCAACCTTTTTATTTGCTACTGTCCATTTTACCAATCTTTCTATGTACTGCTTTCCAACTAAACAATCTTTTTATTTGCTACTGTCAAACTTCCCAACCTTTTTATTTGCTACTGTCCATCTTACCAACCTTTTCATTTGCTACTGTTCAACTTACCAACCTTTCTATGTACTGCTTTCAAACTAAACAACTATTGTATTTGCTGCTATCCAACCAATTTGTTCATTGATTTGCTGTTTGATTTCAGCCTTTCGTTTTAGATAAGCTTTCCGTACAAGGAATGTGACATCAATGACAAACTGGACATCTATCTGTTGCAAGACCTCAAGGAGACGTTTTGCCATTTAAGTTTGGTAAGCCTCCTTAAAGTATCGGAAGTAGAGAACCTTCTAATGTCTCCCTTTTATATGAATAATTTTAGATGTTGTTAATTTTTGTGTTTCATTTTTCTGATTAGGACATTCCAGTTGGCCATGTACATGAGTTTCAGGTGTATAGACCACAGGAAAGTGGCTTGCTTTATCAGATCAAACTTGGAGATGAACCATTGCAGGCGCCTATCGTAAGCTTATTTCGAACTCATTTAGAAATCATAATCTTTCACAAAGTGCTAATTTATTAATGATGCTATGACTTTCAAATTGTCAAATGGGCCCTATCAAAGCTCTTTTGCCACGAGGAAATTTTATTTCAAGACCTTTTCGAGTTTTTGAATACTTTTGGATATTGATAGCAGGAATTGAAAATATTGTAAATATTTTCTGTTACCCGAATTGTAAATATCCTTTTTAATTTTCATGATATGCTACAAGTTATTCTTAATTATATCGTATTGTTCTTCGACGGTTTGTCTTCCCTTAAAGTGCCAATGTTATGAAAAAACCATCATTTGGGCTTGCAAGAGATTTTGGGGTAGGTCTTTTGACAATATTCTGGGGCTTTTGCTCAAAGGGAAGTACGTTTCCATAGATGCAGGCAATATATGGGTTTGGAGGGCTGTTTCCACCCTGATCAAGCAAATTTTATCGTTTTTTTTGTCAGGCAAGATCCGTTCTACGTCCACGCAACCGCTACACTAGTTTCCACCACTATGCGGGTTTTTTTGGTTTTCGATCACACTCGAAATGCAGTGTTCAATAGTGAGGCCTGCATCACTCCAGCCACTTGTAATCTTTAATGTGATTGACATTCCTCATAGACCACCGCGCACAGATTGTGGAACAAAATGTCTTGAAAGTCGCAACTTTCCAGCGTTGTAACAAGAAACGGCGAATAGTTCAGACAACCATCAGATTCAGGGCTAGTGACTTGATAGAAATCAGCAATGAACAAATTAAGATTTTTTTCATTTCAGTGGCACTTCAAAATATGGACCGGAGTGTTTATCCGTACAATAACATAGCTTTGATTTGATACTTAGGCATATTTTATCCCTCGTCTTCTTGGATTGGTCGGTCAGAAAGTCTGGACTAGTAATTTAGAGCTGGCTGATCATGATCCTGAAGATCTTTATGACGACAAATATCTTCTTGAGGTAAGCAATTTAGGTCTATTATCGCACTTGCAGTTCATATTTTGTTGTTACGCAGTGCTTGTCCTTTTCAGCCGATAAAGCTATCTTCACCGGAAGTTTGCTTTGGCAACACTTTCAACTTTTTCCTAAGCCAGCCTCTTGCTTGTTTCGTTAAAGTATTTTTTGTCAATTTAGGTTCAGTTGAGAGAGCCATCTGCTAAGAAAGGAAGAACTGACCTTGATACATCGAGCGAGTTAAACGAACGAGTAGACTCCATACTTCTGCATGTTGGAAATTCAAAACAAGGAGATTTTTCAAGAAGCCATCTAAATTGTACCGAAATTGAGGAGCTAAGCATTGATCAAGCCATTTCGAAAAGTATCGAAAGTTGTGGTATGTGTTTAAGGATTGCATCACACTTTTGTTTACAGAGGTCTTTTGTTTATCATTCGACGAAATCCGGACATTGTATTGGCCGCTCTACAAGCAAGACCAAGTGAATTTCGCTTATTTTCGAAGTTTTATTTGTTTTTTTCTTTAGAAAAACAGTGAAATTTTGGAAGCAGATTTTGAAGCAAACTGTCAGGCATTGTTTTTCTAATTTAGGAAAGTGTTTCATAATTTCATTATATAATTACTGAACAAGCCCATGATTTATGCATGGGGTTCATATGTGCTGTGCAGTACTTCAGGAAAAGATAAACCTCCCCCTACATTCTGAAAATTCTTGCTGTTTTTGCAACAAATAGTTTTCCTCTGCTCATATTCGTTCAGTTCATCGTTCGTTCAGTATTCTTTCATCATCAATATCATCTGATTGATCACCTGTTGAAATTCCTTATGGTAAGCTGCCTCTGGAAGCGTTTCAGCCTTTGCCACACTTCTTTGGCGAACCACTCTGCTATTAGAGGAGGCCCATTCCTTCATCGATTATATATCTTCATTGGACATGTTTGCAGGTGGAATGGGTGCTGGGAATTTCACGTCTCTTAACTGTAATGTGTTCATTTATTATTATTATGCATAATATTTTGATTTAAAGTTGGCTGTTCGAAATAGCTAAAAATAAAAGCTAATTAAGGCCAACTATTTACAAAAAGTATATGAAAAAGAAATACATAATAATTACAAAAATCAAACCATATATGAAGGTTTTGCAAGTCCTACAGTTGCAATGTTTAGATTTTGTTGCCTTAAGATGTTTTTTAAAAACAGTCAAAGACACTGAAGTTTTCACTTCTATAGGTGATTTTGCCCATATTCTATAGGTACTTTTGCCCATATTCACTGGTAATAGACCAAGTTTACCAAGTTGCAGATCCGGTAAAATAATATGCACGCCATGCCACGAGCGACTTCACGCTTTCCTAAATGCTGGTTGAGAACGATCTGGCTTAGATTTTGAACGTCTGTGTACTCAAACATCTGCATATTTCTTTCAAGTTTCTTCAAACCCAAGTCTAAGATCTTGACAGAATCTAGGGACTTTGCTGAAATGCTGCCCTCTGGGCCATTCAACTTCATTGGAAGATTCTAATGGGATTCGTTGATCCGGTGGATGTTATTCTGAAACTAAGCACTCTGAAACCAGTACAATTGCATCTTGAAGCAACTTGATCTCATATTTCTTGTGCTTTTCATTCGCGAAGAAAGCATCAATTGATGCTGTTCCCTTCATGGTAGTGATCTGGCGAATCGAGCCAGTCTTGTAATTACATGCATAAACGACATGGTCGAATTCGGTACAGATTCCAGCTGGAGAATAAAAGCGCGCATATTCCGTTGTCCCTACTTTCTTCTTCTTCTGTACCAGCAAATGTTTGAACACCATCCTCTTGCAAGAATAAAACCACTGTGAATCAAGATTACTGTAGAGACATTTCTCCAGTCATCAGGATAATCCATAATGACCCTTGCCTCAACCTTGTAAGCCAATTGCGTTTCATTTTGTGGTGATTTGCACTACTCCTCTTTTTGATTGCCATGTTGTGTGCATCAATGTCTCATCAACAAGGGCTACGTCTTCGAAAGCTAAAGCTTCTACACCATCGAAATGAATCACATTCCAGTTTCTTCTCTTCGTAGAAATTGCTAATTCCTTTCTGAAATGTGGACAAACGCTTCTTACATCCTAGTTTTATCAGATTCAAACTACCAGACGCGCCTTTTCTGAGAAAAGTAGGACTGTTGTTGTCTTTTTGAGGATTCGCCGATAAGTTATGCGACTAACGCACCTTGTTTTCTATAATTTATGCGATCAGATAAACAGAGGAGATGACAAAAAAATTAGGTAGGAGAATTTATTTTTTAATCAACCTGTACTAAATTACGGTTTACGGTTGATAACAGGAAAATAGCCGTGAAAGATCGTGAAATCGAGCTTCTGTCAAGCAGTCCAGGGCAATAATCTACAAAATACTGAAAATTAATACTTTAACTGGATTTCCCTATAAAATTAAAATCTGAAATTCAAATTCTGACTGTCGCCTGTGCGTCCTGTGCGACAGTCTAAATCCGCGCCTGATTGGTGTACAAGGATACTCACCATGATATGCAAGCAATAATATCTTGACTTGAGGAGAAAAAGATTGAAGCAGCGCAAGATCCCACTAATGCTGGACAAAGAGAAGTTCTGTTGAAACAAAGCAGCTTCTTATCATACTAATTTGAGATTTCACTATTAGTGGTTTATTACCTACCAAATTGAGGCATTTTTTTAGATTATCATTCAAAAGTTCATTCACGAGTTCACGGATAGTTAGAGCCTTTTACATGACATAACGCAAGGAAAATGTTTCACGCTTCACGTAGGAATCTTAATTCACAAAATCACACATAAAAAATCGAGATTAATACAGTCAAACAAACGTTCCTATCAAATCATTCGAATCTACTGGAAAATTGTTTGAAAGAATACATTTTGTAAATATTGCTACTACGGGAAAGTCGTTCTCTGCTAAGTTCAAAACAAAATTTGTTATTCAAATTTTTTCTCTTTTCAGAAAACACTTCGAAAATAAGCCGATTCGACAGTAGGCCGAAAAATTCAATTTCATAAAAAAATAAACCGCGGCTTATTTTCGGGAAAAAAAATAATCTGTGGATCCCATTAGGACCCTATCCCGTGTAAACGCAGTTAACAGCGAAATTCGCAAAAGGACTGATAATTAAGATCTTAAGAATCTAAAGGAACAAACTGGACGATTTTAAATGCATAAGAGGTCTCCTTAGCAAAAGTGTGTCAGCAAACTTGCCGATTACTTCATCATAACTGACTGTCAAACAAGTCAGCTCAAAATAACCTCTCTTGGCCCATTGTTGATCCCTTTTGCCGAACAGATACGAAATTTCCGACAAATTGCGGTCGATGTTAAGATTTAGATTAGATTCAAAATTAGATTATCTAACATCTTCATCAAACCTGGGAATGATTGAAAGATTTTTCACTATCCGTTGTCACGAATTCATCTTGCTTAAAGAAAGGACAGCAGAATCTTTGAGGGACTGAGCAAAAATTAGGAAGTGCAGCCAGAACGAATCTTACTGTGCGCACTCATGGCAGTTGAGTGGGGTCGATCTCCTATGCCTGCCAAAAGTCTTGGAACACTGACGTCATGTTCAAAGGTCAAAATCAATCATCCCCCTCTCCCCTACAGAACAATGTTGGTTTACTATCAAACGGGTTAGGATTTTAGGAAGCACTTTCTTTTGCGCTTCTTTTATGATATTTCTCTAAATTATTAACAGTGTATTAGGGGGAAGGGGGCAGATGGAGTAATTTTTCTCATGAAAGGGATGAAAGATATCAAATGCAGCGTAAATAGCCGGGTATTCCAAGTACTTTTGGCAGGCATTGTCTGTTGTCCGTGTTTTGTCATATCTCAGTTGCCAGTGTGCTGGAGGAAGGCCTAGTTCGGGTGAACTGGTGTTTACGTATATAGTTGACCAGTATAAGACCGGTATAGTTTACCAATAATTAGTGCTGCGTGCCTATAGAAAAATTGCCACTGAAGACCAAGAGAGAAAACTAACTCCATGTTCAACCTTTTATCTACACAATGGCGGCTTTTTCGTTTGTATGTAGATCGATTCCAAAATTTCTAGACGGAAGGACGATCGGGCTCTGCCAAATATCCGAAACATGTCTTCATATAGAGTTTTGCACAATCTGGGTTTATATCGGTCTTGTGCTTGCGCTTATCAGATTGGCCTATTTCGATCCACAACTTGGTATATATTTTTCATCGTGTTCTTTCAGACCCTTGTTCCGACGTTTTATGCTCTGAGGAGTGTCAGACGAAAAAGCTTTTAGCCATTATGTTGTAAAATGTTTGCTTTTTTCGGTACCCCCAAAAAATTCTTTACAAATATGCCTCTATATTTTGGCACAAAATTCTCTCCTTTATTATTCCAGGAAGCTATGAAACGAAGAGAAAGATGTACAGTACAATCTTGATCGTTGGAGGTGGAATGATGTTCAAAGGAGCCAACAACTTTTTGATGCGAAGGGTTCAGGCGCAAGTTCCCACCGCCTTTCACTTTATGAGAGATCAGATGGAAGTTATTACAAGACCAAAGGTATCGGCTACTCACTGCTCAGAAGTACTTCTCACTGCTACGCACTGCACACAAGTTCATATTGAAAGACTCATATCCATCTTTTATCTTTGAATTTACCTGAAGAGTTATTGCCATTTCAACAAATTTTAAATAGACTAATCGAAATTTTTGCATCACAGACCAATTTTTATTTTAGGATATGGACCCGAGAACGGTTTGTTGGAAAGGAGGTGCTGTGCTTAGTATCTTGGACAGCGCACAGGAACTTTGGATCAATAGAAAGGAGTTAAATGATTTTGGTGTGAGGATTTTGCGGGAAAAATCGGCTTTCCAGTGGTCGGTGAATCTTTCTGACAAACAATAAGCAAAGACTGCTCGACAGCTTTTTGCTAATGCATAGGCTGCTTAAACACTTTGATAAAACTTGAATCTTTCATCATGCTGATGTCCCTTGGACTTGGAATCTTATTGTTATTCTTTGTGGCTCTAGAACTTCTCGTCGCTCGATCGGTTTCATATCGCGTTGATAGCTATATGTGATGTGATTTAGAGCTCTATTTTGCCCCCTTCTGTAAGACCCTCTCTCCAATTCACCCCTCGAATCGTCTCTTTTTAGCACCCCCCCCCCTCACAAATTCCTTATTCTGGAAGCTACTTATGATAAAATGCAAATATTTAGCCAGGAATAGTCGCAATTTCACATGCTTTACAGTTGATTGTTCTTGTCAAGCTCTGCTATAAGAATCTATATATCGTGTGAGTTCCAAAAATGGATTTCTATCCCCTTATCTCTGACATAACCGGCATCGCAACACATCATCAAGTCGTTACTCGTTGGAAAGATAAGACAATAGATATTACATCAATATAAAAACTATGACGCAAAAAACTACTTAAAGAAAACTGAGAGGGAGTAAATCGAGCTTTTCTTCACGTAACAGCAAAGTGAAAATTCCTTACAGGAAGAAACGTGTTATTTATCGTGTTCTACCCGCTTGGAATCTTGTTGGCTGGTCATGTATGCTTGATCAATAGGTATTTTCTGAAGTCCTAAATTTTTTAGCCCATTTGAATGCGGTAATCTGGCTAGTTTCGTCCAAGTGACTTATCAGTATCTGTAGCTTATGATTTGCATGGTTTTATTTAAAGTCGGCTATGACTCTTTACTGTGTTGTTCACTACTCCTATTTGAAAAGTGACAATCTTAAGTAAAGCACATATTCGCAGTTACTTGCTGGAAGGCATGTGTTAGGAGGTGCTTATTTACATCAAGTACGATGTGAATCTATACCAGAAATTCTGGATACAGAAAAGCATGGTTACCATCGACAATGTTACCAAAAATTCACGAACACAATTTCTGTTGCAAAGCGTAAGAATTCAGGCGAAGCAACGCAGCAAGCAGAGCCAAAGAGACAAAAGCGGTCGGGGAAATTATCAGGTGTGTTGTTTCCAAATATTTGTATGATATGTAAAACAGCTGGTGTGAAAAAACAAAATGCAAAAGTCATTCAAACAATGTCGGGTCGGCATCTGCAATGTTAACTCTTTTCTGGCACGTAAAATTTGAGGAATATGCTAGAAAATGGTCAAATTTTGAAAAATAATTAAAAATGCAAATACAGGTGCAGGTTATTCATGCAGGATATGTCTATGAAGCTTGAAAAATAGAAAATAATTTAAATTTTAAAATAGGGCATTAAATAAAAAATTTGCGCTTGGGGGAGAGATATTGGACAAGCCCCCCAAAATTACTAGTTTTTTCTCTTGGCCTCCCAGTTCATCAGGGTCAATGCTGCATGGCTTTTAATTCAATTTTATACTTCAATATACATATATTTTTCAAATCATATCATACTTTAGCAGATTAATTAATTTTTAGGGGGGATATGGGCAGGGGAAATATGGGGGTTTTATGTTACAAGCGCTTTTTGTGTTAGAAATAATAGATATGTGATTTATAGATTAAAGAAGCCCTATAATCAATTTAAAGAACTGATATATTTGTGCTCTCTTTAAATTGTTACTTGTGACTTCAATTAAAGCTGGAGGACTCTAAAGTGAAAGAACTCTTGACTAAAAATAGTTAAATATAACTAAACAAAACAGAAGAAAAATCGTGAACGTCCATCATATAAACATAAATCTTCATCTGGGTCCTTTGTAGCCCTTTGAATGGTAAATTGAAAAACAGTTTCTTTTCTTCTTTACACATAAATGTACCTCACAACCACTGCATGTTATTTCGGATCTTCCTTGTTTGTCACCATAATGGGCACACACTTTGCAACGACCACGACTTTCGCTGAAAACCGGAAGGTGGGTAACTCCAGATGGAAACATAGAAACATTCCCTACAGCTGCTGGAGGGGCTTCACCACTTTCTATTTCAGCCAGTTGTCTTATGACTGCCTGTCTGTAGCTTAACTGGTCATAGTCCTTATTTCTTTGCAAGTCTGATCTCTCAGGGTGGGATTTACAAAATTTCTCGAACAGGATATACGAGTTGACTATTGCAATATCCAGCAAATGAAAGAAAAAAACTTTCCAATATTTTTTAACCTTTCTTAAAACATTGTAAGAACCAATGAGTTGATCTGATTGGTCAACACCTTTCATATTTTTGTTATAATCTTCTATTGCCTTTGGCTGGAGAAATTCTTTTACTTCAAATACACCAGTCTTTGAATCTTTCTGTCTTCTTTTGCAAGTGGATGTCTCAGATCCTGAATGAATGGTTGACAACAGAGTCACTAAGGCATTGTCCTTCCATTGCTGTATCAGAACATCATTCTCTTCTCTCATCCATCTCTGGTGCCCTCTTTGTGCCTTCTTTGACCACATCTTTCGGTCCTTCAATACTTTTGGAAAATATTTTCTATTTCCTGCAGTCACCCCACAGCCTAGTATTCCTCTATTTTTTAACTCACAGAGCAAGGGAATAGAGGTATAAAAGTTATCTGTATATACTCTATAGCCTTGCCCTGTTAGATCAGCCATCAGCCCAACAACCACATCATATCCAATACCCATTGCAGATGGTTTTGTACCGCGTTTTCCAAGATATACATCAAATGCATAAGTATAGCCAGTTTTTGAATCTGCGAGTACAAAAAATTTGATCCCCCATTTTGTTGGTTTGTCTTTATTATATTGCCTGATGCCTGACCTATGTTTTGATTTCACCATTCTTTCATCAATAGCCACTTCTCTATCACACTGAAACAATTCTCTGCATTTATTCTGGATATGTTCATAAATGTATCGAACTTGCCTTAGCTTGTCATTCTTATTCTCTCCAGCTGGGTCATTACCACGAAAGAAAGCCATGATGGCTCTAAATCTCTTCCTAGAAGGAACAAGTCTTTTAGCCCAGGAACCAGAATATAATGTGGCAGATGACCAGTATAAATCCTGTCTTTTTAGGTCAACCAGACCCATGAAAATTAGGCAAGCGATAAAATTTTTGAATTCCCCAACAGAGACCTCTGACCACCCAGATTCAGAATTTTGATAAGACCTGTTTGCTGCAATGTGGGCTGATGCATATTTGTTGGTAAATGAACACAGCATTCCAATCAATTCTTCTGTAAAAAATAACATGAAGAAGGACAGTTCATTTGCAAGCATGGATAATCTTCCTGCACGGGTCCTTGCGTCAACTTGAATACCTGGCACTCTATTTGGCATGAATTTTAATTCTGGAACATAATTATCTTCAGTTGGATAACCTTCTTTCCAGTCTGAATCAGCTAATGTTGTTGAGCTTGAGGCTGCTTGCCTTACTGGAGATGAAGTTTTCCTTCTGGCTATGAGCCTTCGTTGTTTTTTCAAAGGAGGCTTCTTTTTGGAAGAAACTGAAAGCTCATCCTCCCTATCTTCATCAGAGCTGTCTTCGTTGTCGTTTGGTCGCGGCCTACTGACAACATCAGAGCTAGCGGAGCTACTTTCACTTAGATCCCCGTCTGAATCATATTCTGAGGTACTTAGGTCACTGGACGAAGACATTTTTCACAAAGTTTAGGCCTGTAACAGTAAAAAACTCATTTTAGAACTGAAATCTACAAATTTATGCAAATAAATCGAATTTTAAAAATTCTGAAAGGTTCTGCGATCAAACGTTATTTTATCTTCAGTATAAAAGGAATAAAACAAGGGCCTAAAACACATAAAAAGCCAGCAAAATGTACGATAAAAACACTAACCTGAGTCGGGATAAACAGTCAGCTGATATTCCTCTTGAGAAAATTCGGATTTTTTGATTCAACAGTAAAAATAATTCGCAATCTGTATCGATAAAAACTTGGTATCATTTGAAAGAGCAAAGCACGCTGAACATTTTGATATAACCTCCCTTTAGATTTGAGGCCTCACCTGCCACCGCTGACCAAAGTTTTCGCTGGTACAAATTTTTACCAGAATCGGGGGTTTGGCCAGAAAAGAGTTAAAGGGCGTCTCCAGCCAAATTTTGCACTTGCATTTTATTGGCTAATCTAAAGGAGTTATACCTACTGATCACGAATTCGTTATTTGTTTTTCGATATTTTTTACAGTTTGTGAGATATAAGCCCTCGCATTTCGATAATTGAATTGAATTAACCGACAAAAATTTTTCGGTTTGGTGACACGGTGACGCAATTTTGACGTCACTGTGCATTTCGTTAGTCTCGTCTCAAACCGAATCGAACGACAGCGATTCGCAAATTGAACACTGCAAGTGATGATACTCTCCATCTGTAGCCAGTTTTGTTCCACCGGCTTTTAGTTTGAGCATTTCAGACACCATAGTCGGGATCCTTGTGTAATTCCGCTCGATTTGCGTGCCAAAATTGATTTTTTTGCATGAATTCCTACAAATATCTATCAATAATATAAAAATCATAGGTGAAATTTTTTTGGGTCATCCCCCTGAAATGAGGCCCCTCTCTTCCGATGTTTAAAAGTTGCAGAAATGACTCTGACGCGATTAAAAATTGTTTTCTTCAGAATATCTCATTGTAGAAAGTCACGTGATTAACCATATTAAGTCAGTTTCCATTAATACGCAAGGATCGCAGGATCGCAAGTCACAAATTTAAGCTATTCTTGCGTTTCTTGCGTTTTATGCGATCATATGGAAACCAGGCTTAATACACCTATATTCTCAGCAGCTTTTCCATGTTATCCACTAACGCTGATGTTTAAAATGTTTTGTAGAAATTTCTGCTTTTAGCAATTTAGGGACACCTCCTTCAACGGGCCATTAATGGCAACTGGGGTGCAAATCACGACCGGTCAAAGCAAGTGTCTCTGCGGGGGAGAAAAATGTCCCAATCACAATAGATAATAAAAACTAACTTTAAATTAACTTTAAATTGTTTTCAAATGTTAACTGGGGAAATCTATGAATACTGGGTCCTCTATTCCGTCTGTTGCGATTGTTGCGATTTTTGCGATTCTTGCGTTTGAGATAGAAAATTTTCTATCTCTGCGATTCTTGCGATCTTTGCGTCGATGGTTTTTTAATGGAAACCGCTTGTTAACAACTTAACGCCCCCCCAAAGCTTGGAAAATCCAGTTACAGTTGGAAACTTAACAGTTGACTTGGAAATTTTTTCTTAGGCCCAAACTTGTGAATTTTATATTTTAAGAAGTTTTTTTATTTTCAATGTTAAAATTCTAAACATTAAAATTCACAGGCTGTAGCTCACACCCATCCAATCGTTTTCTATTGTGAATCCCGTCTCCACTGGATCCAAATTGCACAATTGCCCCGTTAGCTTTCTTTCTGACGGGAGTTGAATCAAATTACGAACAGGCAAGGTAAATTTCCGGATAAGAAACTTGAAACTTTACAGTTAGGAATAATAATACCCGCATTGATCAGAAAATATTAGAGTGGGAGTTTTTTAAGAAACTACGAGTAGTTAATTCAATAAAAGATTAAGAATCTTTCAGAACTAAAAATTCTCAACGCTTCTTTTAAAAAACGAGTTTATGCTAAACTCCCCCTGTTATTTGTTAATGTCCTTGAGTCCTTGTCATAAATTCCTATCACAAAACTGCTGTGAAGTAAGAACACATTGCAAAAGCTGCAGTAGAAGTATTTGATCAAAGAAGAGTGTTTCATCTTTCGAATCAGGCATATGCACAAGTTTGTTCTCAAATCATCATTTCAATTGTAAAGAATGAAAAGACATTTGGCCCTCTGAAAATTGTTAGTGGTTTTCTTCGATCAAGAACAAAAATAAAAGGCTCAAATTCTCGGTGCTTCTATATCGTGAAAAAATGTATTTTAGATAAAATTGATCAACTGATCTGAAAGAATACTACTAATCATTAAGTATATCTAATACTGGTTTTGCTTAAATGTTGCTTTACTTCTAACAGTAAGTTTAAATGTTTGTTTCATGTTAATCAAAATTTAGAGATTTAGGCTTTTATGCTTTAGGCTAATTATTGAGTAAAGTTTTGGTAATTATAAAGAAAATAGAATATGGTGTTCGGGCTATTCACAAATATCAATTTGGTAGGTACAGTACTGGTCGAATGAAATATTTCTCACTTAAAGTTGGAATTTTCATCCTTCCACGCCCCTCCAAAATTAGCAACTTATTTTCGTCCCTGCAGGCACCGAGGTTACATTCATTCCAACCTGAAAAATTAGGCCTACCTGAAAAAGTACTCCCGATCGTGAATCCTCAGATCCTTTGTTAGTGTGTGAAACGCACCGTGCTCTTCTCTTCTCTGAATAAATTTTCTCACCCAAAACCTATGTTTTTTTCTCGCACGACGTTCTCTAACTCTTTTCAATAATGCAATAGTAATAAACAAGCTCGATTGCAGTAGATATTGCTGGTTGATTCCAGCCATTTTAATTTTGGCGCGCCCAAAGTCAAATCATTAATCGCGGGAATCGCAAGGATCGCATTGTATTTCTTGCGATCCTTGCGATCAAATGGAAACCAGGCTTTAAGGAACAACGAACTGTTTAAACACGTTAATGAATTTCTTCTCCCTCTCCAGAATCGGCGTCTGTCTCTTCACATGCGGCGTAGTCTTTAATATTTTCCCAATCTACACATTTGCATAGTTCAGCGCATGACAGCCCATTCTTCAAACACGAAGAGCTTCCTCGTCCCTTGCATCGAACCTTGCATCCGCATTTGACAAGTTCAAGAACTGATTGCGGGGCTGGCAGCTCAAGGCACTTTATCGGTACTTCCATACCCTCATCCATTTGCCAACCGTTTCCCACAAGAGGTTGAATTTCATTAATCGCAGTTGTATATTCCTTTAAAATTCCAGCAATAAAACTTGCTCTTTGTATGTGGCGAATCAATGCTCCTAAAGTTGGAGGTAACTTTTCTGGTTCCATGTTTTTTCTGCTAAACTCTCATTTTCTCCCTAAATTCACATTTTGGTACCCGATTATTTGTATATACATGTATCGATGTCACAAATTCAATGTATATCTATACACAGTCTGAATAACCCCAATACCTATTTGCACACCGCTCTTGTACTTACGTATGAGTACGCAAGTATTTTTATATACATATATTTATGGCACTATTACATTTTCTATGCCTAACCATTGTCCCTCCATTGGCACTACGAGCTCGTAGTATATTCTTATTGAATACATGATATATACCTCTATGGCGAGGCTACATGAATAAACTGGATACACATGAACGTGGATATCCCTTTCTTTTCTATACAACGCTACGATTCAATGATACACCTTTGCTGGCATCATCCCTGGGCGCAGGGGTGAGGGGGCGCCCAGGTGTAAAGGAGCATACTGATCATAAGCCCCGAAATGCTCTACCTGGTGGATTGGCTGATGAACTAGCAAGGACTCAGAAATTATAAAAGACAACTTATATACATGTTTATATATGTTATATGTAGCAGTATAGTATATCTATACTGACACACGCCCCTATCTAGTTGGGTACACTAGGTACACTATTCTAACAACAAACTTAATCCCAGATCTCCTAACGACACAAGATTTTGTGAGAGGGCCCAGTGTGATCTGGTTGAGGTTGGTATTACACTGTTTTGTCTCAGTTTTTGACAAGCTGTGCTTGTCCTTTTTTATGGTTTCAAACAAAAATTGCATTAACATGTCATATCATCCCTGTTGTTTTCATAATTTTTTTGCTTAAAGATGTTATTCATGCTAACGGCCATGCTAACGATCATGGACCCTCGTTAGAAAATCCTTGGACTCTAAACTTCAATCATTCAGTTAATTTCATTCCTTGAGTTTTTTTGCCCCTCTTTATCGCTGAGAGGGCTGATTTGGCTTAGGCTACAATAAATCCCAAAATGTACTTAAAACAATACAGTAAATATTGCTCTTATCTTTCAGCATCTTCAGCATCCAGGATGAAGTTTATGACCAATTGGATTAGAAATCTCCTTACATCGATTTAGGGGGTAAGAAGTCACGTGACTATAAATTTCAATTTCTAAGTAAGAAACTGATTAAAGACGTGTCCCTATAGCATTTGGAAACAGATTGTTGAAGTTCGTTCGTTCAAAGTTCGTTCTTATCATCTATTACGATTGATGGTATTTGCTCCTCCGCAGAGAAACTGACATTGACCGCACGTGATTAACGCCCCCGCTAAACCCCTTCCGCTTTCCTAAAAAAATGCCATCTATGATTTTCGTAATCTAGATGGATATTCAAATACATTCATGCAAAAAAATCGATTTTGGCACGCAAATCGAGCGGGAGCAATAATTGTGACACAAACGACCGGACTAGCAATTCTGAAGCCTTAAGTTGTTCATCGTTTCTGGAGAACAACTGAAGTGTCAATTTCGATTAATTATACGCGAGGGAAGAGCTGGAACAGGAAGCCGTAGCTTTGTGGGCCTACACAGGTGATCAAAACAAAGTCGTGACACAGCATCGACACATTCCGACCCGCAATCTGAGAATGATTGTAAACATTTAAAGGACAAGTGACACGCTTTTGGCGCCAAATTTTTTTCTTCTTTTAACTTAAAGTAAAATGCTGTATGAGAGTGCTGTTGAAATATTTGTCCTTTCTGATTTCATTTTCCTACTTAAAAACACTTTTCAAATTATGGCGGGAAATGAATCACGTGACACCGTGACGTAGATTGTGATAATTTGTTATTGCTGCTACTGGTATACAATGCAATATTAACGTTTACAACACGCTTCTAAACGAATTCAGTTCGTGTGGACCTGTCGCGTTGTGTTTCGTAAACTCTCTATTAATGACAGGAAAATTCCGAGTTATCACAATGTACGTCATAGGGTCACGTGATAAAAAGCAAAATCGCACCCCCTGCACCCCCTGACTATAATTTTTTGTTCTAAACCAGGAAAAACTTACATCTAAATGCTGATCTATAAGTTAATGAAAAGAAAAGATAGGGTGAAAAGTGTGTCACTTGTCCTTTAATATTTTTCGATCCTAAAAAGCTCCTGCTTTAGATTAAGATGCAGTTATCAACGCGTGACCATGACTCCTTCACGATTCGGTGGAAAATATACGAATTTCATGGCGAACGAGAGCCGCACACTGTGACGTCAGAATGTCACCAAACTGATTCGGCTTTTGTCGTTTTTTTCTCGGAAAGGTGCAACTTTAAAGCCTTATAACTTCTAAACTAATTTGAATCTTGCAAAAATAATGACTTTGCCATAATACACGCACCAGATGCTAACTTTCTAGTCAATAAAAAAAGTTTGCTGCAGAATTACATGATGACGAAGAAATGAGCTTTGGTGACTTCGATACTCTCAGAGAATTTGTGCAAGAGCATGTCATCGATGGAGACCAAAGTGTTTCAATGAAGCTCCTTACTGAGATTTATGGCCTAAATAAAGAAGACACGAGAGTCCGAAGCAAAGTTAAAAAAGATTAGAAAGTGAATTTGGTGACCAAATTTTGTTCGTAACCATTGATTACCACGAGGCACAAGTAGTTTTAAGTCGCAAAGCCATCTCTGAAACTAGCGTCAGCAGTTTTGTAAAAGATAACAGAAGCTCCATCTTGAAAGAAGCTGCAAAGATTCTTCGTGGGGATATATGAACATGATTGACAACGCATCCAATGTTCGTTGGCCACCTGCTGTTGAAGATCTGAAAGCAGAAGAAAGGAAACCACCTCGAAGTTTGATCAAATTCCTTATACTTTTGCTGCATTCTACGCATCACTCCGCAGAAGATGAGGTGCATTGCCATTCATTATCAATTGCTCAAGATTTAGTTCATGCAGTTTCTAAGAGAAAGTTCACGACGTTAAAGCATACGTTGCTTGGAACTGCTCTGCATAGCTTAATAGGACAAAGGCTCGCGGTAGATATCTTGGCAACGTTCGGAAATTCTTGCAACTATGATTTGGTACAAAGGATTAAAACTGCACAAGCTGAGTTAGATATTGCGGATTGCGATCTTACGGTTGAAGAACGTGGCACCAAAATGAGAGAAGACTTTTGCATTCGAATGGACCCGGCCGAAAAAGAAAGACAACTGTTCTTTGATCCAATCAAGCGTGCCCCTTGGAAGAGTTTTGCTGATCAAAGTCTGAAGTCGAAAGTTCGTTCAAAGAGTAAAGAGAAAGAAAAAGATGTCACTGTTCAACGTGACATACTCAAGCTGCAAACGTACATACTCAACATACTCAACGTGACATAGCTGCAAAGTCTTAACAAGCACAAACTTCTGTCGATATCAACAAAGCCCTTCAGTATTCACTGTCACCAATACCCTTATGCTTAGCAACATCTGACGGAGCCAGACGTAAAACTGCAAAAAGTACGCTATTTGGCACAGGTCTTCTCAAGATAGAGGTCGATAGCATTCATTTTGAGCAAACTGAAAGGATACGAAGATGCTATATTCTAGATTTATCTGCAATTATCAGAAGCACAGTGAAACCCTCTAATACTTTTAGAGAGCTTGCCAAGAAAGTAATAAGAGAAATCCCGAAAACGTATGAAAGTATTTACATTCCATGTGATGCATATAGGGCAGCGACGATGAAAGATGGTGAGAGATGCACTCGTGGAGAAGGAGACAAGTTTGTGATAAGAAATTCTGATATCAGAATACCTGCTGATTTCAAAAAATTCCTTTCTAACGGAGAAAACAATGAAAGAATGTTTGAGGTATGGGTAAAAGAAGAAGAGTATGGGAAGGACACTATATGTGTTGTAAGGTTTTCTTCGTGAGATACAGATATTCCTGTAATTCTTCTGGCTATGCCGTTCAATCGTCGTGTCATGATTGATAATGGAACAGGGAAAAGTAGAAAGATTCTTCACTTAAGCAAATCTGACCTGAATGACATACAAAGAAAGGCATTGCTGGGGATGCACGCTTTTTCAGGTAATAACTAGGTATATATCTTGCATACTTCGAAAAGGCAAGCACTTGTGCTGGAAACATGTAAAAGACAACAAAAGGTTTCTGGGGCTATTTAGCAGTTTAGGGACAGAAGTTCAAATTAATGATGATCAGCTAAATGGCCTTGAAGAGTTCGTATGCGTGATTTTTGGACAAAAAAACTTAGCTCGGTAAATGATGCTAGAAGAGAACTTTTTTGGGAAAGAATGAAGAGAAACAACAAAATAACAGATCTATCTCTTCTTCCGCCATGCAAAGGCAGCCTTGCAAAGCATAGTCGATGTTTAAATTATATTGCCTACATGTGGCGAAATGCATACAGACCAATCATCAATCTTGAGAGCCCAACAAATCATGGCTGGCTTCTAGATCTGAAGATTGACTTTGACTTTCTCTTGGATTATTCTGACTCCAATGATTCGGACACTGAGTTTTAAACCCAACTGTAACATACGTGTACATGTAAGTTTACTTTTAACATTCTTTATAGCTGTTATGGCAGTATTCATCCCAAACGTGACCCCACAACGGGGGCACTTCTATAACATAGAATACACTGCGAAGTATTCATCGTAAAGATGCAGTCGTCTTATCTATGAACACTTACAATACTTACTGAAATTTCCTCGTGAATATATATATTTATACCATATTTATACGAGTTAGTATGCTATGAGCAGTGCCCCCACGCAGGGGCAAAGACTCATGAAATCAATTGAAAGTTTCATACGTAAAAATAACATGAAATTCGGATTCTACACCCCAGAATTAACCAGAAACTATATTTTAATGGGCAGCTTTACCAGTACTTGTGAAAAGCCCCCTTTGAGGGGATCAATGGATGAAGGGCAGTGTTAGGGGCAATTAAAGTTCTTCAGCTATTTTCATACAATTATCTTATTAGATTATTTTGTTGTTGCTATCGATTGTAGGGCTATGGGAATGTTTTTTATGTATCAAGTAATGACCCCATTTTGAGGGGCAAATACCCCCATATCTCGTGAATGCCCCCTTGTATGACAGAACAACATCAAAATTCGGATTCTACGCCCCCAAATTAACAATGTGAACCTAATCACAAAACTCCCTCTCTGGGTGGTGATACTCCCCCTTCTACTATCGGACTACTATTTATGTTCAGGAAAGCAAGAAGAGGATTCTTGTGATATTTTCTTCTTAGCTGAAAAGCCTATCTATTTCATTTTCTGTTTCACTATCATATACGGATAAAGAAGAATCGCTTTTACGAACATCAAGGGAACTTGCGTCGCTAGAGTAGATAGCTGATTTGCATTCGGAACGCGAGATCGAATCGATATGTTCAGCTGGGCTGTGATAGACCCTAGCGTGAAGATATATGTCATGGTTTTCGATTTGGTTAATTAATATGGATGAATGGGCCATTTCAATGTTACATGTGTGTTCTGTAACTGTTAGTCACACACCGTTTTAAAAATTTACGAGGTTCCCGGCTAAAATACTATTTCCCTGGTAGTTCAGGTGAAGTCCCAATTTATCAAGGTGTCTATTTTCAATATTTTCATGTTCGATAAAGCTTATTTTGCTTCTAGAAAGTTCTGCCTTGACTAAGTCATTTACCTTTCTTTGCTTAATCTCCAATTCATACGAATCTACCATTTTTATGATACTGGCAACAGCAACATTTCTCACGATTTTCTTCGCTTCTGTGGCCAATTCAATTCAATTAATTTTTTTGCCGTTACTTCGGGAACTTCAGAGCGTAGGCTTCTTGATTGTCGTCTATAGTAGGCTTGATATATGATTTCATTTGACCAATTGTGGCTCCGGTGAAAGTTTTTAATGATGTTTAGGCGTATGGAACTTCGGTATTTAGATCTTGCCTCCTGATCTTATTTTACCATAGAGTCGCCGAGAATAGAAAAAAGCTGGCTTTCTAGGGCTTCTAGGCCTCCTTGGACCTTGTTTAGTTTATCAATATCCTTTCCGAGTTTATCATCTGAGTTGCTCGTTGTTCTAGGAAACACCCGACTATCTTCAATGGCTGAATACTCTCTGTCGTTTGGGAGTTGTGTTGAACACTCTTTTATTGTTAAGGTATCCAGGCAGTTGAATCTGTTCGCTGTTTCCAGAGGCTGTATCAAAGGAAAGCCCTTTCCATTGACGTTTCTCCACTCTGAACCTCGATCCTGTGATTTGGACTTTGTATGTACTTTCCATTCATCAGCTGCATGCTTCGTTTGTATGTTTGAATCAGCTATATTCCACTGGGGCGATGGTCTAAGAGCAACTTCACAAATTGGGGCAATGGTCTAAATGACGTAATCTTCTCCTTCAACTTTGTGTTTTGGAACTTTAGGCCAGTGTTTTCATCAAGTACAGGTTTTTTCTCATGCTCAAGTTGACTATATCTTGAGAAAAACATGGTAAAATCAATTTTATTGATTTCTTCGGTTTTTGGATTTTTTTGGCTTATATTTGTAATTTCTTCCACTCGTCTCTCAACTTTGTCCAATCTGTCCAAAATAAGCGCAAGAGTTTTTCGACTTGTCTGGTCTTCGTGTAATAAAATTTCGACTACTTCATCTGAGAGAAACGAAACTCTGTCCTGGTTTTCGTGTGATGTAATTTCTTCGTACCCAGTGGCTACAACCTTCCCTGTCTTTTCCTTTACTTCTTCCGATCATATTTCTCCGCTTCTGAATTCCTCTGCTCCATTAAATACAGGCTGTATTATCAGAGACTCATGTCCACCATGAGGGGTATCTTTTATTTTTCCTTGCTTCAGCATGCAATCCAACGATGTCTCAAACATGCTTTCATTTAGGCCATACGTCTTGTTGAGGGCCTTGCAAATTTTGGCGGAGTAAGCGGGTTGGTTTTTCTCGCGTAACTTTGTTATTTCAGCTAATACAAGATTCTCCAAATTTTCCATATTCAGTCTCATAATCATCTGTTTCTAGTGCTGTCAATTATAAAGAAGCGCCGAAGGCGCTAGATGTCTAAACACACAGCTAAGCTGTGAGGCAAATTTGTTTACTTCCGCCATTTTGAATAGTGGCAAAAAGGAACTTGCTCCATACTGAACCCTTATAAATTTGGTAAAATTAAGTATTGATTTCGTTCACTTCTCTTTCGAATATCGATATGAAATTTGGTGAATGGCCTTATATTGCACTTAAATTTGCGAATTGTTGTTAATATTGGAAAAACAAGCCGTCATTCGCAATTTCCAAGCTTTTACAGTCGCGGTGCTTGTTGTGGTGTTTTCTGTCTCGTCAAAATTCCAGAAAATAATGATTTATCTGTTTTAAATCGGATCCGGCAACAATGTTTGGCCACTTAATGCATAATTTTCTTAACACATTTGTACAAAGATGTGATTTAGTTACTTTTTATTTCTTTTTTTACAGAAACTGCTATGAAATATCTAGGCCTAACTCTAGAAAAAGCTGAAAATAGGTCATAATTCAATGCTTGGATATTAATAACAGAGTTTAAATATAGTAACCAAGTTTTTGATTCTATATAATCATTAATATTTTTAGACTATTTCATAACCCCACTCGTTGCTTGTAATTATTCTTCAGCACAATGCGTCCCTCCCCGTAACTTTAGGCCTATAAAATACCTTCGAGAAAAATAGTTGTGAGCCACGAGAAAACCATTCATTTTTAAAATGGCGGAAGTAAACAAATTTGCCTCACTCGGCAGTACGCAGCATGACCCGAGTTGACATCTAACGCCTTCGGCGCTTCTATATCATTAAGTGCTGTCGCCATTCCAAATCTCTTTTATAACCCCAGCACATAAGCCCTGTCCACACTACACAAACTAACCCAGGTTCGCCCCAGGTTTTAGCTAACCCAGGTTAGATTTTGCAGTGTGGACACAACTAACCTGGGTTCGCCCTGGGTTAGTTTAACCCATCTCCAGAGGTCTAACCTAGGTCGAACCCAGGTTAGTGTTCTAAATTTCTAGTGTGGACACAAAACCTGGGGCGAACCTGGGTTAGTTTTTTTAACGCATGCGCATATTTGAATATGTTTTCATTTTGCGCGCCGAAAAATAAAAATACGTTACATGCAAACACCAGGCAAGATATGGAAACTTGCGAAAAAGATCGTGGATCACTATGGAGCCGCGAAAAAGTTCTCAGCTTCATAAGTATCTGGAGAGACGAAAAGATTCAAGAACAGTTGGATAACTGTACAAGGAAAAAACATGTTTACGAAAAGATGGCACAGCGCCTAGAAAAAGAAAGTGGCTACGAGCGAAACTACATCCAGATAAGTGAAAAAAAAACAACTAAAACAGTCTTATAAGAAAGTTAAAGACAACAACAACTTGTCAGGAAGAGGGAGGAAAACATTTGAATAAACTGCAACTTCGGCAACTTCCATCTTGATCGTGTTTATGAAAAATTTGTTTTGTGTCGTTGTTTTGTTGTTGTTGTAATTTAACTACACATGCGTAGCGTCAGCTAACCTGGGTTCGCCCCGACTTTGTGTCCACATTACAAAACATGAAAATCAAGTGTGGACAAAACAGGGTTCGCCCCAGGTTAAATTTAACCTGGGGCGAACCTGGGTTAGTTTGTGTAGTGTGGACAGGGCTATAGTAGCGAACCTGACTGTTTCACGAGAGCAACTGAATAAGGACTACGGTCGATTTTTGTTTAACTGGTTTGTTTGAATCAGTAAACCGATGAGTGCATTGGTGTATGTCTTCTTTCGACTCAATTTCTTTGGCTTGAAATTTGCTCATTTCATCCCTTCTCCCATCAAGGAGCATATCTTTAAGCGAATAGTCAGGGTTATGTAACGCTTTCCTTCGGATTTTGTTAGAAATGCCTTCAACAAAAATCTGTATTTCGATTTCGAAGTCTGTATCCGTAAATGTACAATTTACAGAAAGATGTCGTAGCCGTGTGTGAAAATGATCTAAGGTCTCTCCTTGTTTGCAGGAAATTTTCGAATTGTGATGCTTCTAGTTCCCTGGAAAATGCACTCTTTTAAGCAGATTTCACTAAAGCAATCCTCCTAATCCTATTGAAAATTATTGTCTTCTTGCAACAATTTCGCCGTGGTCTTGAAAAATACCAGGTTGTCAGTTTCTTCTAAATTTAGATCCCTCACTCCACCTTAGCATGCCAGAGAGTTGTTTTCTTCCTTTTCGGTCAAGCCAATGTCGCATGTGCCCATTGAAAGAATAGGCCTAATTCCGCAGCACCCATAGCACCCAACTTAATCCGGCCCTGGTTCAAGATGCTAACCTCCAAAATTGTGCTGATATATTTTCGGGCAGAGTTTTCTCTACTCTCCTGCAAAATCAAGAAATCAATCCACTCAGAAATCAATCTACTTTAATTATTTTTCGTTCCTCGGTCCTTCTTTTCAGTAGCGAAATTCCGTTTATACGCCTGCCGCCAGTAACTACATGAATTTCCCATACTGACGTCATGAAACAATCAGACGTCAAAAAGCACACTTTTGAGCTTAAAGCAAGATAAAACTTCAATTAACACAAGGTAAGTAGCATGGAGGAGGTCGCTGAGAATGTCAAGCTAGTGCTTAAAGGAAATAAATGGTTGAAGCAAAAGGAGAGTCCTTTCGTGACCTTGGCACAGGAGGGTATAAGAGCAGAGGAGCTACTAGGGGAAGGGGCTTTTGCCAAAGTGGTTTCCGCATATCACGAGAAACTGAAAAGAAAGGTCGCAGTCAAAATTACTGACAAGCGAAAAGCTCCGGCGGAGTACCTCGAAAAGTTTCTTCAGCGGGAGATAAATGCGATTTGTGAACTCGATCACCCCAATATTGTACGTCTACGTATTGTGCGATTAATGTGTTATTGGCAAGATTTTTAGCTGCTTTTTACTTATGATTTTATCTTTCAATAAGGGTTTTGAGACAAAAGTCTCTTCTTTCTTGTCAATTTGGTTCTGTCTCTTCACTCATCCATGTGAACGAGAGCAAAATAATCTAGCAATTGTCAAAAGAATAAGAAACAGACAAACAAAGATATACCAGCTGTTACGATCGAGCGAGAAAACCATGTTAATTTAGTAGATAAAGAGCATGAATTGATCTTGTAAACCAAACTTAATCGCAACTTCTTCGCTTTGCCTTGTTGTCAAATAAGTTGACACATGTTGTTAATACAGTTGCATTGTAGTATAAAATGACACATGTTGTTAATACAGTTGCATTGTAGTATAAATGACACATGTTGTTAATACAGTTGCATTGTAGTATAAAATGAACAATACGGCTTTCAGGTAAAATTACTGGGGATTTATGAATCTACTGATCGCATTTTCATGGTTATGGAGCTATGTGAAGGTGGTGATCTTCTTGATTTCGTTAACGAGCAAAAGTACAGAAGTGAAATGGAAGTAAAGAGACACTTTCAAGAACTGTCATTGGCTATCTACCATACACATCAGCGAGGTGTTGTGCATCGCGATTTGAAGCTTGAAAACCTCATTCTCGATTTTCAAGGAAATCTTAAAGTTACAGGTACTTTTCAGTTCATTCTTTGATTTCAATTCATATATTTAAGGAGGGTAGCCATTCAGCAATGCCGTTTTTCAAGGGGGCTTCACTGAAAAGATTTACAAAAACTGTTACAGAACACAAATGAATTAACCTAATGACAATTCAATATATAAAAATTATAATGAAACCCTACTTTGACCCGATTTTAGCTGTTTAAAATAAACATCAACGATAGAAAGACCACGTAGATAGCACCTATTCAAACTGAGCAAGAAATTTTTAAAGTTGCTTAGAGAAAATACCTGTTTACACTCAGCTGAGAGGTAATTCTAAGACCCAGCACCTTTTAACGAAAAGCATTTCTGTCCATTTTTTGGAGTTTTTCTTTGCTAGCCTTAGGTCAGTTGATGTACTCTTTAGCTAGGATTTTTTATAAAAAAATTACAGATGTATGGTGGTGCCAGTTCATTAAGAGATTTGAGAAAATGATATTAGACTCACTGGTTTAGCTAGTCTGCGCTCCAACCCCAGGGGGGCACTAAGCACATATACATACGGGGAGGGACAGTCCGATAATTTTGGGTCAAATGCCTACCCAAAGTGATATTTTTGGGTTAAATATTTAGCAGAAATGATATTTTTGGGTCCTGCAAAAACAATAGATACAATTCTGATATTTCTAGGTATCAAATTTAGAAACACTGATCTTTTTGGGTTTTTGTGAGATTTCCATATCTGAAACAAATGTATTGTTCATCGGCTCAGGTTTTTTTTACCCATTGCAAGTCATGTTATCATACTCTTTGGAAGTTTTAATGCTACAACCATGTGATACAATATCTTCTGAAATTATAATTTGTGATATTTTTGGGTATAAGATATAAGTAGAACTGATATTTTTGGGTCCTTTGAAAATGGGCTGATATTTTTGGGTGGCTTGTAAAATTCTTGGATATGTCTATGTGCTGAGTGCTCCCCCTGGGGCTCTAACAGGCAAGCTTCTTTATAAGTTGTTAGCCCGATGCAACGAATCTGCTGCCAGCTGCAATTTGAGCAGCTCAGTTTTATAGCTTTTTTAGCTTTGAAAAAAAGCAAACATTTTACAACAGTTTGGCTAAAAGCTTTTTCGTTTGACACTACTTAGACCATAAAACGTCAGAGTAATGGTACGAAAGAACACGATGGAAAATATATACCCAGTTGTGGATATATATAGTTGTGGATATATACAGTTGTGGATTTAACTAAGTATATATTTTTCATCGTGTTCTTTGGGACCCTGACATTTGACTTTTGCATTCTGACGTTTTATGCTCTGAGGAGTGTCAGACGAAAAAGCGTCAAAACAAACAATTTTAGGCTACGTCCTTTTTAACATCAGAAAACGCTCGTTTTCAACAAGGACACCAATTTACCTGAAGGGAACGCCCATGAGAAACTTTTGGTTGCGGAAAGGCGATTTCAAAATCCTAGGATGACATCACTAAAAGTATGTTGCCAAAATGTTACCCCTCCCCCAACATTTTCTCACCGAAGTTAGACGAAGTACAAAATTGATACTGCCCAGAAAACAAATGGCACGCTAGACCCAAAGATTTTATTGCTTCTCATTCGCTTTCTGGTCGCCTTTGTGTTTTCGGCATTGAAACTATAATATTGATATTTTCCATTTCTCCCTGACATTTTGTTATCTTTGGCCAGGTCGAAAACGCGGAAAACGCGGAGCTCGCAAAAACGCGGAACACGCGGAATAGTGAAAATTTGCTTTACGTTTCTAGAATGCAATTACATGAACAAAGCAATAGAGCTCTTTCACGAAATAAAATGTAATAATTTATTTTCATAGGAAATGAGAATACCACGTTATCCGCGTTTTCGATTTAGACGAGGGTGAAATCGAAAATGGGGAAAACGCGGAAACCTTTTATAATCAATCATATTTGCTAATTTGATGACAAGAGAGGTATATAATGACTTATTAAGCATTGATAAAAATAAAATTTTTATAATCAATCAAATTAATCAATCGGAGACAAATTGTGGTCTTGCCAAGAAATCTAGTGGGGGCTCTTATAACATTGATCATGCAAATCGTGACACCAGCATGAAATTTCGCACAGCTACCCAGTTTGATGACCTGGAAAAGATAAGGGTCAGACCCCAACTCAAATTTGCCCTAAATGCTATTTTTAGACTGGGGTACTCGGACCCAGTCCATTTGGAGCATTTATCATAACTCCACTGCAAATGAAGATAAATGACTGAATTTTGACAAAGATAAGCAATTTTATGCACCCTTTCCCATCATCAAAGGGATGATATAGTGGACCCTAACCTTGAAATTGTTGGGATCGAGATCACCCCAAAACAAGCTAAAAGTTTTCTAGTCTTGTGTTGGTACCGCAGGCCTACGGATGGCACAGACAGTCCTACTTTTGATGCTCTTTCTAGGCTCATAAAAAGATTAGATACAGAGGACAAAGAAATGATCTTAATAGGTGATACCAATTGTGACTACAGAAAACAAAAAGACAGTAACACGAGAAAGCTAAAATTGATTTACTAGGGCTATCAGTTTGAGCAACTCATCAAGGATTTTACAAGGGTATCCACGACCATCAGCTCTACAGGTGAAACTAGAGTCACCAAATTATGAATAGATCACCTTTCTTCAAACAGACCCAACAAGCTCTGTATTGTATCGGTCGTAAAAATCGGTATAACAGATCACTATATGACATACGGTATTAGAAAATTAAACGCTAGAGTTCATGTCAATGACGTGAAATTTAAGACAGAGCCACGCAGTTTGAAAAATGATGACCGTGACTCTTTCCTTAATGACTTGCGTAGTATTGACTGGGAGATGGCTATGTCATGTAGATCGGATGAGTCTAATAAGATGGCTAGCAATTTCTACGATCTCTTTTTCGCTGTTTTGGATGTGCATGCCCCGTTGAAAAAAAGGACCGCTAAGACGGGGCATGCACATATACCATGGATTTATCCAAGCATCAAGAATTTGATTACCCTTGGTACCAGAATCACTATATAAAATAATAGAGAGCCTGGTCTAGTGCGCCCCATTCTCGTTCTGGTGAACTTACTTGAAAGAACTGAAGTCTATTTCACCGACTAGGCCTGTGAAACAAAACTGTCGGATAAATAACAAAGATACTCTGTAGTCAGAGGAGTTTTGGGAAATCTTCAAGCAAATGTATTTTATATAGTTCTGTAAAGTCGACATTATTAATACAGTCTGGTAATAGACTTTTCTGCCTCAAGATTCCAATCAAATCAGGTTTAAAACGCCATTTGTCAGCAAAAAACATGTGCGAAGCATCAAATTAAAGTTAGCACAATGCAGTTATTAAATGTTAATCTTTATTAAATTTCGTATGCAACTTAAAATAAGTCTTTTGTAATTTTCCTCATAAATTGTGTGTACTTTCAAAGTCTACTTCCTCACTGTGAAGGCAGCGCGCTTGGACACTGCGGCGGTTAGAATCATCACGTTGGAAGTTCACCACAGCAAATATGGGCAATGAGACAAGCGAAGCCCCGTATGCCGGGCGAAATATTAGCCATAACTGATTTACTTGTGTTTGTTGTTGTTTGTTCTCGGCGCCTTGCGGTGTTTCTTATTTACTGCATTTCACTACAAGGCCTGATTTCTTTGCAATGAGAGGCACAGCCTGAAATATCAGAGACTTTCCAAAGCCAGTTGGCAATATGGCGAAGGTGTCTCTTCTCTCTACAAACAAGGCTTTCGTTTCAGAACATGCTGTTCTGTGTTTAGTTTCAGAACATGCGGAAAATATTCTTCGAGTACAGTTTTAACAGCATCTTCAAACTCAATCGTTACAGTCGCTAGCATTTATTTGTGTTGTGTTCTGTTCAATGTTTTACACCAGAGCTAAGTTTATTGTTTCGCTGTGACCTTTGAACGTACAGAAATCTGTACACTCGCTCCTGATTGGTTAATATCAGCACACCAGAACGAGAATGGGGCGCACTAGACCAGACTCTATTTTATTTTATATATAGTGAGTCTGGTACCCAGGGTAGAATTTGATGTGCGAGAGGGACCGTATTAACAGACGGGCTGAGAAAGATCCAGCACTATGGCCAAGATATAAGCAGCTTCGAAACAGAGTAACTTCTCAACTCAAAAAAGCTGCTGTTTCTTACTACAGTGACATGATAGATGACAATTCAAATAATCCGTAGGGAATGTGGAAAATAATAAACAAGGTATTAGACAAACATTCAAATCATAGTCCTCCTATGTCAATTATCCATGAAGGTCAACGTGTTGAGAAGCCTGATGAAATTGCAGAGGCCTTTAACAGGCACTTTATCTCCATAGTCCCAAAACTAGCCGAAAATATTGAAACCAAAGATTGCGATGACCCACTGAAGTACCTACCCAGCAAGTGACTGCCCGTTGAAACTAGTTGTGAATTTCAAAGGGTTGATCCTGAACTCATTGAAAATGAGATCAATAAGTTAAAATGCTCTAAAGCTGCAGGGCATGATAAGATCCCAGTAAAACTAGTGAAAGACGCTGCTGATATTTTATCTAAGCCATTAGCAGCTATTTTCAATTCCTCTCTTGAAAGCGGTGTTTTTCCGAACATATGGAAAGTAGCCAGGGTAACATCAGTCTTTAAGACCGGATCGAAAAGTGATTTGAACAATTACTGGCCAATATCCATACTCTCGGTATTCTCCAAGCTAATCGAGAAAATCGCACATGATCAAGTCTCCACCTTTCTGAGGGAAAAAAGCATGATCTCCAAATGTCAGCACGCATTTCGAAAGCTGCACCACACGTTGACCTCATTACTCAATGTTACTGACTCATGGTTCTCAAATGCCGATAAACGAAAAATAAATATTAGCATCTTCCTTGATCTAAAGGCATTTGACACTGTGGATCACAAAATTCTGCTCTCTAAGTTATCAAAGTATGTAATAGGAGGAACCCCTCATCAGTGGTTTACATCATACCTAACCGATAGGATACAATACTGCCAAATCAATGGTTCCAATTCACAACAAAAGAAGGTTCGTGCCTTGGGCCCCTCCTTTTCATCCTATACGTAAATGATTTTAAGCGATGCTTAGAGAAAAGCTCAGCAAATATGTATGCAGACGACACTAGCATAACATGCTCTGCAAAAGACATTGAGGAACTGTGCAATGACTTAAAAACTGAGGGTAAGAACATTGCAGAGTGGATGCGGCAAAATAAGCTTAGTCTGAACACCAATAAAACTGAATATATGGTCATTGGTCATAAAAGACGAATTAACCATATCCAGGGGGAGATAAACGTGGAAATAAATGGAGAAAAAATCAAATGAGCCCATGAAGTAAAATATCCTGGGGTCACTATCGATGAAAACCTATCTTGGAACAAGCAGTACAAGAGGCTCAAGTGTAAACTTAAAAAAGGTCTTTCTTCGTTGAGGAAACTTAAATACTCCCTCAGTCGAAATTGGACCAGGTTAACAGGGCACTTTTCGAGAGCCATCTAAGATACGGTGATGAATTAAGGGGAAGTCTGTCCGCTACAAAACTTGAACATCTTCAGCGTCTTCAAGACAGGGCTCAAACATTAATTGAAAGTGCTAAATTTGAGGACGGGTGGATCTGTAAATGGCTCTCAGTTTCGAATCTAATTAAATATGACAGGGCCATAATGACGTACAAAATGATGAATGGTCTTTGCCCTGACATCCCTAGGCAAAATTTGGAATTCTCAAAGGGAAGTTTCTTTCATTCTGGGGCCAAAACATGGAATGAGATTCCAAGAAACATCAGAATGAGCCCCACAATTTCTATTTTTAAAAATAACTTGAAAGGATTCCTGCAAAGTTAATAAATTCCCTAAACAAAACACGATCCCTAGGTAGAACAGCAAGACCTTTATTTTATATATTTTAAAGAAGTAATTTTAATAGAAGTAGTCTATTTTATTTGTATTATAGCTGATAGGGAATTCGTGTGTAAAGGTTTTTGAAATGAAAAAAAAATTGCACTGAAAAAGATAGGGGTCAGTTCCTAACTCAAATATGCCCCCGAATGCTATTTTTAGACTGGGGTACTCGGACCCAGTCCATTTGGAGCATAGCCTATTTTGGACCATGATTTAGCCTATTTTGTGACTTTAGAGCCTCCACTATGTTGCTACAACATGTCCCAGAAACATCATAAAATCCGGAGTATTTGGGGTTTCCTTGAGTGATCACTATATGGTTTATTGCGTTCGAAATTTAACGGAGCAGTAGAGAAAGGTCACAAAAAGATTAAGACCCGTAAAATGAAAATTTTTAATGAGGAAGCATTCCTTGCTAATGTTTCTGGGATATGTGGGGAACAAATGTTTTCTAAAACTGATGATATATATCAATGTGCTTATCAACTATTGGTCTGAAATGTTTACTCAGATTATAGAAAAACATGCGCCTTTCATTGAATTTCGGGTTTCTCAGAAATATTGGTCTTAGGGATTTGATGACAAACTAAAAAAATCAGCAGTCAAAGGTAAATCCCCAATACTTATGGACGCTTACAGAAAGATCCGTAATAAGGTCAATGCCCTTAATGTTCGGTTGAAGAAGCAGCATTATACCAATAGGATCTCTGCATGTCAAGGTAATATGAAAGAATCTTGGAAAGCAATCAATGAACTTCTCAAAAAGAGATCAAAGTCAAGTAGCATTGACTGTCTCATAGAATCTGGTACAGAAACTCGGAACAAAAAGGATGTTTCTAACGCAATGAACAATTTTTTTTGCACTATAGGTAGGAATCTAGCAGATGAAATACAACCTGCCGCTAATCCCCTTCTAACAGGCGAATATGAAGTTAACAAAGATAAGACTTCAAGATAATTCAGCTGAAAGATATCAGGGATGCTTTTGCCAAGGTTAAAACAACAAAGAGCTATGGGATTGACAATATCTCTCGCTACTTTTTGAGACTTGCTTTGCCTATATTGGGAACTTTCTGGCTTTCTTGTTTAACACTTCATTTGAAACTAGCCAGTTCCCAGATACATAGAAAGTAGCAAGAATTACTCCTGTTTTCAAAGATGGAGATAGAACTGAAAAATCTAATTATCGTCCCATATCAATCTTGCCTGTCATCTCAAAGCTCAATGAAAAGCTTGTTTTCAACCAGCTGTACCAGTATATGAGAGAAAATGGTCTCTTTACATCTGACCAATCAGGCTTTTCGCGGCTACATTCCACACTAATTTGTTTGCTTAAAATGAGTGATGGCTGGTACAACGGGCTTGATCTTGGTAAGCTCGTGGGATTGGTAGTCATTGACCTACATGAAAATTCACTATGCAGCAAAGAAAATACACTAGGGTCGCAAAAGTATGGAAACGGTAGGTCAAAATGGCGGCTGACAATGACCACGGGCCTAAGCCGACCAATTTCAAAATCAGAATTATGAGGCAAAGGGGCTTGGAAACATGCATTCGCCATTCCTCCGACTTTCGGTTTAAAGAAAATTTAATGATTGGTTTTTTTTGTTTTGAGGGGCAACATTCAGCAAAATTTTGAAGTACTGCTTCTAAACAATTCTGTAAAAGATTATTTGATTGTTCATGAAAGATTACCACGGAAAGTGTCACTTTATTGAAGAAACGTGAACGTTTAATTGAATTATCTTATGCTTATTAAGGTTCGCCTGTACTTTGAGGCATTTTTTTATGAATCCTTCGAAAATATTTTCCAGAAAGTTTCTGAAGCACCGGTCCAATGTTTCCCTGACTTTTTGCCCATAAAAAAGTAAGGTAATCTCTCAAATTTATTTTGATTCAAAAGCCATTGGAATTACGCAAAAATATTCGCGGCGAAAGCGTTTGTTACAAAAACCCCTTAGCGCTGAACTTCTTTTTTAAAAACCTGCCGGCTTAGGCCTTTAGCTTCTGCGAGCCACCATTTTTAGCACCGTTTCCATACTTTTGTGACCCTGGTGTATACAGGCAATTTTTTGAAAGATGTGAATTACTGAAGTGAAAAGGTGGAAATACTTTAGTATCACTTACCACTTAATAGCAAAACAACGATCATATGTGACGTCACAATTAAAGGGAGCTCAGATTTGGTTGGAAGTTGCAAAATATATCATTTTTGAGAGGTTGGCGGCAACAAAAATTTCGAAATGACATTTTAGGGATGACTGCAAAATTGATCCAGGGTATTAGCAACAACTATTTCCGAACCTTGGTCGATCTAAAATCAAGGAAAATCCCAGGCAATATTCATGAACTTGTTTTTATAAATATGCTCCATAGTTTTAGCTCGAATATGACACAACGTTTGAAAGGTCTTGCAAAGTTTTAGAATTAACTTTTAAGCACAAGAAGTTGAGCACAGTTTATAAATAAAATAAGAACTCAAAAAAGATAAAAAAGCTTTGTAAAGTTGGGGTATTATTTTGCAAAATAATATCGTAAAAAGTTTCAATATTCGAACCTTTGTAAAGTCATGCTAGTCTGCCCATTCAATCCTTTTCTTTTATAATCACGCCCAGCCCTACTCACTCCCACCCTAACCATCTACATCCCCACATACATAATTGAGGGACCCGAAGCCTCTCCCTTCTCCCAACTCCTCGGACCCATCCCGGCCCATTTTTATATTTCATATTTTATTCAACATCTTTTCGTTGCTTTTCTTTCGTTTTACCTTCTACGCCTTAATATTTAACTGTTCACCCGGCCAGTACGCCACTGGCCAGTCATCGGGCAAGAAATCTTGCTCATTGAAGTTTGTCATGCTTCAAGTTTTTATCTGTTAATTGTCTTGTTTTATTGTGCCGTCGAGTTTTATATGTTCACTAAAGTGTCCTAATTTGCTATTATTGTTGACAAACCGTAAATGATTTTGTAATGACGATAAAACCAATTCAATTCGTCTTGGGCAATTTGAGACAAACATGGAACCTTTTAGAACGGTTTTCGGATACTGCATGTACCAAAAGTATTTTACATTAAAGGCAATAAATCAAGGAACCGTTTGTTTGGAGAGACATTTCAAGAATTTAATACCGTTTTTATGAAGCCTTGAAAATATCAAATGAAATAGTGTCGCAGCAAAGATGGTCTTCGTGTATCATCTTAAGTGCTTTACGATTGCGACAACACGAGAATAACTTCTGATTCTACTTCAGACTTTGGTTTCGCCCGCCATTCAGTGAAAGGAAATTTACTGAACACCTGTTGCGGATCTTTTGCCTATGCATGCCCAGAAGTGTTACGCGGCGAGGCATACGACGGTTTTGCATCCGATGTGTGGAGTATGGGCATTATATTGTACGCCATGTTGACCTGTAAACTTCCTTACACTGAAATCGACCTGAAAATGCTGGCCAATGGCTCAAGTGTTAAGAAGCTAAAATTCTCTCAAGATACCCCTCAAGGTAACTCTGTAACCAAATTTACCTCTAGTTGTTCTTAACTGAAATTTGATTTTAAGTGAAATCTTGTATTTGTTGTAGTTCATTCGCAACCATTGCTTTTACATTTGAGAGTAGGAACTGGATTTGACAATATTGTCATAGTAAAAGCAACACAGGTCTTGATTCTTCTTATTTATGTCAGGAGGTGCGAAATTTAAATTGCTATTTGACGGTTTTGAACGGCTTTTCACTTTTTAAGATAAAAATATCTGTATCTGCAGATGAACAATTTTGCGATTCAGATTGGTTATCCTCCCCTCAACAAAGAAGTAAATTCAGCCGTGCACTTTTTTAACCATTTCAAGGCAATTATGCCAAATATTCAAGAAAAAAGCGTTGTAAACATTGGTAAAAGCAAATATACAAAAGAAATCATAACTCTAATTGGTGTAGTTGTACGTTTCTTTTGCAATAACTCTTTAGCCTGGTATTTTGTTACAGGTGCTAGAGATCTTGTTCGGAAAATGCTGGAATGTGACCCTTCCGAGCGTTTCACATGTGAAGAGATTATCAGTCACGAATGGCTTAGAGACGAAAACTTCCCACCAGAAAGAAATTTCATCATTGCTGGAGATGCATTACAAAGAGGTTGCGGGAGCATAATAAACAAAACCTTTAATTGCCAAACAGCAAACAGTGTCAGCAGCGGGATTTCCGAGTTGTCAGTTGGGAGCAGCCTGTCCGTTAATGGCCAAATCCTCAGAAATAGAGACGACTTGGGCATTGTTACAAGCGAGAAACATTCTAATGTTCCTGGAGAAGGTAACCAAATTAATTTGAATTTTGAAATTCTTTAACCAGCAGTTTAAGAGATTAATCAATGGATATCATATAGGTAGATTATTGTCGGCTTTCTTGCACGTTCGGAAACTTATAAGGAGGTAATTATAAGGAGGTATTTTGTGTGCTCATCATATGATACAGGCATTGACATTTTTATGAATCCGGCAATCAGCTACCACCTACACAAATATATTAGGGCTGGAGAAACATCAGTTTTATTTTCTTATTAATATGTTACCTCTGCAAGCTACTCTTTTCATATTCATCTATTTACTATGATTTTTTCCTAGAAGCGAACTTCAAAGTTTATGCTGTCAGAAGATCAACAATAACTAGTGCTGACAACCAGCGATTGTTAACTAATATAATGCAGCAGCCAACAACAAGATTTTCAAAGACCGTCAAGAAGAAGAAAGTGGCTCTCATGTGTCTAGGAGGGCTAGGAAAAAAGGCAAAAGACTCTGATGTCAGCGGGACAATTAAATTCCAAGATAGTGGAAGAAAAAAGGAAAACCTGTATGATATCGTTTCTCAAGTAACGAAAGCAAAGACGGAAAAAGGAAAAACAGAAAATCATCTAAGTGATGACGAATTTGGACAGGAGGATAGTGACGAGGAATGCATTAAGCAAATGAGACGCGAGTTGGAATGCTTGGAAAATGATGGATTAACACTGGAAGCAAGAGAAGGAAGCCAAGCGCCAGTAGTGGAAGAGAAAAGAAAGCTTCGATCATGGAGGAAAGTGTGCGGCCGGCTCACAAGCAAGGGCTGATAACGAAATCTTGAGTAGAGAAAATATAATTATCTTCTATTTGGCTTAAAAGAGTCTAGAACAAAATTGGAATGCAGTTGTAATTACGTAACAAAGAAATTTAGAGCGTTCATTTTTGCCATGGCAGGAATTATTGTACCACAGATTTGAGTCAAAAAGATAATTCAAATTTAAGTGAATACTTTTTTGTCAATTGATTCATTTATGAAAATATAGCGTTACTTTAGAGCTATCTATTGAAATACCTAATATTGCTTGACAAAGTATCAAACTATCTTTAAATAGACAAAATTGACAATTTGTACAAATATGTTCCAGAAGAAGTAACAGAAAATGCCATTTTCAGATATCTAAAGATTGAAGCCAGTACTCAATGCATTTTCTTGGTGCTGGGGGTACTCAAAGAATTTTCTTTTCTTTTCAGCACCAGATCTGAAGGTACCTTTTCTAATGACAAACCGTTCATAAGCTTATCACAAAACTGAGACACGCGGAAACATGATGCTCAGTAACAGTAGATTTTTTTAAAACCAATACTTGGAAATTATCATCGTAGCAATTGAATTGTGTAGGTTACTAACGATATACGGTGTGTTTATTCACAAAGATGGTAATATAATTATTTTAAATGTATCGATGTCTGCATTTGAAATCAGATATAAAACAGAAATCACTAGAACTAGAAAAAAACTTGAAGCATTTTTTATATTTAAGTGAAAATATCTCTCTTTCTTGCTGCCGAGAATGCCTGCATACAGCTTTGAAGGCGACGCTGCTGTCATTAGACCGTGTTCAAACGGAGAAAGTTCCCGGCATTTTCGCAGCAAACTGGGATCTGGGCAAGTCCAGGTAATAATCATTAATGTTGTATATAGGGATATTTGCCAGGATAACTTTAGAGCCATTCTGAATGAAAAGTCTGAATTGCGAGTGTGCAGAGAATATACATTTCCCTGCCTTGACGGTAAAATATTTCCTTGTGGTATCATATTAGTGGTTATTGGTATCTCGGGTAGTCAGGAAAAGGTTTTCTCGTGTTGACGGTTGTGCTATTTTATGTAGCAAACCGATATAAGGTGGAATTTTCGTTCAGTGGGTTCCCTGCGTCATCGGTAAAATGCCACTGAAATTTTCTCCACATAAACAGGCTCTTAGCTGTTCAATAAATCCATTGTAATTGAAACAAATCTTGGCTGGATTGCCCTTGCAATTAAACAACATTTACCTTTGCTATAAATGAAAATGCAGCCTTTAATTGCCTAGAGACAAAGTAAGGAGAAGGGATGCGTTCCTAGGATTCGTACGCAACTTCCTCCGCAAGTATATAGAAACGATTTGCAATTTTTCCTTTCATAGCGTTCATAGCCGCTTCAGCAGCATTATTATACATTTCAGCTGCTTTATCTGTATCTTTGTCAAGCCCGAAACCACCTTCTTTATACATTTCAGCCATTCGAGCGTAGACCTTATAGGATGGGTAATCATCAAAATCTTCGTATTGAGTCTCACTTAGCCTCAAACCTTGTTCATAAAAGTAGATCGCATCTGGCCAGGATCGGCTTCTCCTATTAACGGTACACAAGCATGATCAAAGTCAAATATGTACACATAACAGAGACATAAACGAGATACGCTTAATTTCTTCACCATGAAAGACAAAAATACTTTGGTTGTTCCTGAGCATTTCACGGCGCTTTTGCTTCGACTTCTGGATATACCCGCATAGCACATTTTAAGGCTCTAAGTTGCTATTCTCATGATAAGATCAAATGAAGTTATCAGGTAACTCTGTCTGATGATCGCATTAAGAATTCATCTCAGGGTAGCAACAGCCACCTGTCTATTCAAATATAACCGTGTACACAAAGAAGTCAGTTTAGACTTATACTGGTCAATTAACTTGTTTAAACTTTACAAAAATGACAACAAATATCACCCTTATCATATTGAAGTAAAGATTTTTAATTTTATGCTCTTATAGTTTCAAAATTTGCAATATTTTCAATAAATTTGTGTTCTACAAAATCTTCGGATATATTGTTGCCTGACGTCAGATGTGAAACAGATCTTAACTTTTTCTTTGTAGTTGTTTTTTTCTCCCTTGTTATTTTCATATTGAATCCCGCCATGAACGACACGGTCGTTTATAATCTTTTAATTGATTACCAAAAATAGTTTGAAGCGACGAAGCAATATTCAGAATGAAAATGCCAAAATTCATGCTCATGTTGAAGGTAAAGTTGAAAGTTTTGAACAGAGGCTTGATAACGTGCTGAATACAAGGGAGGTTTGTTGCAAAAAGATAGCAAAGAATTGCTGAAAAATATAGAAATTCTAAACTTACTTTTTGCAAAGTCGCTCGCCATTATCTAAGATAGTTGCAGCAATAAGTACCGATTCTCTGTCATTTTCTTTTGCAGCAGAAAGTAGATATTTCATTCCTGTCTCATAGTTCATATCATTTTCCTGGAAGTAATTATAATAGATATTCTTTTAAGCATTCTGATTTTTTTTTAATAACATGCAAGCAAAGCTTAGACGAAAGAAAAGTGAAATTTTTTACAGACGTTAGCTAGTTTACAGATATCATTAGCAAAAATGTTGCAGGCGGGCCAGTGAGATAGATTGATGATAATTTCCAAGTATCGCCTGAATGCCACAGAACAAGGCTTCATGAAAATAAAACTTCACGTCGCTATTTATAATATCATTCTAACCATTATTTGCGTCCAATCCCTTCATTGCCTGGTGTAAAATGATATCCAAAAATTAATTGGAAACAAATAAGATGAATACCTCCAGCACGTAATCCTCGAGAATCTTGTGGGGCAGCTGTAAATATAATTTGGCAAGCTCTCTTAGTGCCTCGATCAAGCCGCAGGACGCAGCATGCTCCATGTGGAATATTGCGGAGTCAAAATCAGGCTCGTTGTCTGTAAATCGACCAATTTCGTTGTAAAACACAAGCTCTAAATGTACCTGAACAAACAAAACATCTCTACGTCACAAAAAAGTTCTTTGAAACTCATAAAATTTCACATTCAGCTTTACTGACAAAGACAAAGTCAAGATATGTCATCTAGATGACGAGATGTCATTTTGAATGAGAAAATGTCTTTTTGGATAGAACTGATACATTTACAGGTTTACAGTAATTTAAGCTAATTCAACATAGCCTTTTCAAATCGCGCATAAAATCGAGCATAGATGCTGCCCTGAAACAAAAAGCATAGATGCTGCCCTGAAATAAAAAGCATAGATGCTGCCCTGAAACAAAAAGCATAGATGCTGCCCTAAAACAAAAAGCATAGATGCTGCCCTAAAACAAAAAGCATAGATGCTGCCCTGAAACAAAAAGCATAGATGCTGCCCTAAAACAAAAAGCATAGATGCTGCCCTAAAACAAAAAGCATAGATGCTGCCCTGAAACAAAAATCATAGATGCTGCCCTAAAACAAAAAGCATAGATGTTGCCCTAAAACGATGCTGTCTGAAGCTTAAAGGACTACCAATACATACCGTTCCGAGCACGGATTCCTGTAAGCTTTCATAGTCAATACTGTCAACATCCGAATATGCTTCGACATTTTCTTTTACAGAATCTTGAATTTCTTTATTTATGGGAGGAATGGCGATGGGAAGAACGGAAGATTTCTTCCTGTTAAATTTTGCAAAAAACACACCAATGTGCCCTTCGTCGTTATCCTAGGAACAAAACAGTAACATTAAAAGGAGATTAGAAGTCAATTTGCATTGACAAAAATACCCAGGCAAAATACAAGTAAATAAGGAGATATAAACTCATAATTAATAAAGTAACATAATAACAAAATTATTAATGTTAATTAAATGCAACCTTTTGCGGTAACAACTTCAAAATCACAAAACGCACCATGTCTCAAAGAGAAAATAAAGTTTTTTACTGATATCTTTTTATTATATATTACCAAGTCTGACCTTGAAATTTAATTACCGATCTAGATGAATCACTCTCCACAGAAAAGTGAGAGCAGTCCTCAAATGAAATATCATCTGATAACGAGAACGATCTGGTACTTTCCACGTCACTACCACAGTCAGAAGAATTACCAGAGTGTGAATGATCTGATAATATTTCAACCAGATCAAACATCGCTGTCATCTTCCGTTTGCTAATATAGTATTTATCACGTAACTTTGTTGATGGTTCTGATGAACTCAAAATGTCGTCAATTCTTCGCTCTTCCAAGGGACTGAGATCAAAGGGAGCAAGCCCCAAATCCTTGCATATTTTGTTGCACCGATGAGATGCAAAGAACAAGGCCATGCCCTTTGCACCGAGATTCCCTTCTCCATACTCTGAACCGCAAGCAGTGTGTATTTGTGGATCGGTGTACAAATCGCCAACACCTTGAATGTCAACAACGATCAACTGATGACCTGAGCGCTCAAATGTGAAGTGACTAAAAGCCTAAAAAGAAAGAATTTCGTTTAATACATGTCCAATATATTTCAAATGCGTTGGGGGTTTGCTAAATACAAGATATGCTTGTTGCAATATATACATTAAAAATGCGCAATACCGTAAAAGCTCTATTAAGCCCTATCTCTATTAATTATTGCATCTGATTTAGTAATTTTCATAATCTATTAATACGTTTATTGTTAATGCATTTTAATTTGGGAGTTGTTTTATCTGTTGATCGTATGAGACGTATCATGGAATATACAGTCCGAAATTCATGAAATATGGTCCACCGAGCCGGATGAGTTGATGAGATGGATGGATTTTCAACATGGAAGAAACATGGAAGCGTTTTTCGAGGTACGACAACGCGATATATGAATAAAATTAAAGAAGGAAATTGCACCGATGACACCGACGGGAGGAAATTGCAGAGATTAAGCTTGCAGCTAGAAGAGACGAGAAATGAGCTGGTAGGGCTCAACAAGAATATTTTAGATTATATGATTGCAAACAACGAAGAAGAGGAATGCACCATCAAAACAGAAAAAGCTGCCGATTACGAAGAAAAAAACTTGGATGCCTTCGACATCATTGAGAAAAAACTCGAGAAAATGGAGCTGGAAGGTTTTAAGAGCAGTACGAAGAGCGTCATCTAATTCGGCTCATGCTGCGTACAGCCGAGTGAGGCAAATTTGTTTACTTCCGCCATTTTCAATAGTGGCAAAAACGAGCTGCAATAGGGTTCAGTATGGAAAATTGCTCGTTTTAATGCATGATTTTCGCGTGGCCTACAACTATTTCAGTGCCTTTACTGATGCAAGTAGTTAGAGGAGATATAAATAAACAACACATAATAATTTTTTGGGGCTTTTAAACAGAATTTTAAAAAATATGGCTCTTTTAGTTTACGCAATTACGGGGGGAATATGGCAGTGGCCTGTCGTGTTTTTATGAGTTCAAAACTGCTTGCAATCTTTATTTCCATATAAATTAGAAAGAACGTTTTGAGTCTATCATCTAACAATATAGACCAGGGGTCGGCAACCTTTATAAAACAGGGGGCCAAATTTGATTTCTGAAATGCATACCAGGGCCGCAACTCAAAATACAGTATAACTTTAACATATACCAATTCTACCGAACTGCTAATCTAATCAATAAAATTGTATTTATCGGAAAATTTTCTGTAACGTGAAAGCTGTACGTAAAAAAAACTTAGATGTGAAGTACATGTTCACTGGTCAGTATATTACAAGAAGCTAATGTGCAAGTTGGTGCTGCATGTCCTTGTCGAACTTCTCAATATTTGGCAGAATTTTTTATGTTGGCAGCCGCAAGTTGCCTTCAAGGTGCTGATCAATCATTCGAGATCGCAGTCGACTCTTCGCATACTTCATGTTTGAGAAGAGACTTTCGCAAAGGCAAGTACTGCCAAACATGCAGCACATCATCCACCATGGAGATACTCCATATAAAACTGGATGATATGAGTTTCCTTGTATTTCTGTTTCAATTCACTGGTACCCTGCAGCTCGATCAACTTCATTTGAAGATGGAAAATGAACTAGGTTCCCTTGATTTAGCTGTGTTTTCCAAAAATGTAGCATGACCAGGAACATGACAACATGCTCATACATGACATTAACAAATTGAACATGTCCTTGAAGCTTCTTGTTCAGCTTGTTCGAGTGACTAGTAATGACAACGAGGAATGCTAATCTAGACAAGACTCTAGGATCACTGAATCCGGGTCACTGAATCCGGGCCGACACTCGTGCATTGGGCCAAATTATTTACAGGTTAACAGGGGCCTTCCGGGCCACACAAAAGTACCTTGCGGGCCGCATGTGGCCCGCTGGCCGCGGGTTGCCGACCCCTGATATAGACCATTTTAAATATATAATTCTTGAGTTTTTCTGTCTGTCGTTTAGAACCTAATATGGCATGAGTAGGAAAGTGCGAATGTTTTATATTTAGTAAAATTGAATTTGTAGAAAAGAAATTTGTTATGAATCAAATTACAAACAACAAGTGTGGTTTTGAAATAGTCTAAAAATATCAATAAGTTTAAAGAATCAAAATTTGTTTACTATATTTAAACTCTGTTATTAATATCCAAGCATTGAATAATGACCTATTTTCAGCTTTTTCTAGAGTTAGGCCTAGATTTTTCACAGCAGTTTCTGTAAACAAAGAAAGAAAAAGTAACTAAAACACATCTCTCTACAAATGTGTCAAAAAAATTATGCATTGAGTGGCTAAACATTGTTGCTGGATCCGTTTTAAAACAGATCAATCATTATTTTCTGGAATTTGGACGTGACCTCAAACACAACAGCAAGCACCGCGACTGTAAATGCTTGGAAATTGCGAATGACAGCTTATTTTTCCAATATTAACATCAATTCATAAATGTAAGTGCAATATCAGGTCACTCACCAAATTTCACATCGATATTCGAAAGAGAAGTGAGCGAGATCAATCCTTACTTTTACCAAATTTATAAGGACTCAGTATGGAGCAAGTTCCTTTATGCCACTATTCAAAATGCCGGAAGTAAACAAATTTGCCTCACAGCGTACCTACGAGTTAGATATCTAGCGCCTTCGGCGCTTCTCTATCATTGTTGCGTACCTTCAGGGATCAAATAGAGACCATTATTGTGGACTGGAGGCTTTAGATGTGGATGAGCTGACGCACGCAAACATAGTTCCTGTTCTCTTCGAAAAGTTGCCGAAATCTATACGCTTTGGTATGATTCGATCGCTGGATAAAAAGTATGATGGATTGCTCGCTGATGGATGTTATTGATGCTCTAGATGGTAATGCCTCTTTGAAAAAGCCTGTCATTTCAAGGCCTAAGTTTACCAATAGGATGGAATTAGGAGCCGTGAGTGCTTTGTTTACATCATATAAAGGACAGTGTGTATATTGCTGTGGTGATCATTGTACGATAAATAAACAACGTGGGTTTCACCGAGAGAAAGAGTGGATTTTATGAGGAAGAATTTTCGTTGTTTTTTTGTGTCATAACGGTAAACATCGATCCTTTGAATGCAGATCTAAACCTGGGTGTAAATTCTGTAGAGGTATGCATCATTTTTCCCTTTGCAAGAATAGGCCTAGGCAAGGTAACGAAGCAGCTAAGTCTAATGAGGCGTGTGCGCCCCTAGATCCAAGCGCCCCAGCATGGGTTGGGAGTAATTAGAGTACAAGAAGTGCTGTAGCCCTACAAACTGCCTTAGCCAACGTGGATGACAAGAAAGAGAGTAAAGTGACAGTATTGTTTGACTCAGATAGTTACAGATTCTTTATTTCAGCCGAGGCAGTACAAAAGTAGGTTTGAGGCCAGTGAGAAATAAGAATTTGAGTGTGAAGGTTTTTGGGAGTAAGGGTGCAGAAGTGATAGTGACGGATGTAGTAGAGTTATCTCTTTGTTCACTACATGGGTTAAATTCAGTAAAAATTTCTCGTTATGTTGCAGATGATATACCAAGCATTACAGACACACACCCTGAAATTGTTAAGAAGGAGTACAATCATTTAAAAAGGTTATATTTTTCAGACGTTTGCAAGTTTCAGGAGCAATTAGAGACCCACATTCTTGTTGGTGCAGATGTAAGGTGGCAATTCTTAGAGAATGACCAAAGAGGGGGTGCAGATGAGCCTGTAGCAGTAAAAGCTATTCTTGGTTGGGTGCTATCTGGACCATTGCCAGGTATGAGATTAAGTTCTTCTGATGAAACTTCTGTAAATTTTGCCTCATCTCGAATTGCTGTTACATAATCGTCAAGTAGATAAACTATGGGGCCTAGATACATTAGGAATAAGGAAAGAAGATGAATTACATGAATCTGTTGTGGATAGCATTGTGCATACAGGGTCTCGATATTCTGTTTCTTTGCCATGAAAAGACCATGGCCCATTGCTATTGAATTATAACCAATAGATTAAAGTTTCAGTAGATTAAAGAATCAGGTAAACAAAATGAAACAAGAACATGGTATTCTTAAACAGTATGATGACATTATATCTGAACAGGCATTGTTTCCAAAGTATCTAATTTGGAACATGCTGATAAGGTATCATATTTACCACATTCTGCTGTTCTTCGTGATTCTGAAACCACTAGGGTTAGAATCGTATAGGATGCGTCGAGTAAAGATAAGTCTACTAAGTCATCTCTTAAAGATTGTTTACATGGAAGACCGTCTCTTTCTACATTAATTTTTGATATTTTATTGAGGCTTTTTTATGGAGAAAATTGCTTTGGTAGGTGACAATGCAAAAGCCTTTCTCATGATTGAGGTCAATTTAGTTGATTGTGATTGTTTGCGTTTCCTTTGGATTGATGACATTTATGCACAAAACCAAAAGTGATTACATTTGTACTGTGATGAAATTTGAGATGAGTGACCGTGAGTTTTCAAAGAAGTTATGCCAGTCTTTTTACCCAGATGACCTTGTTACTAGTGCTAGTAATACTGTTGAGGCATATAATCTATTTTGCAAGGCTCGTCAGAGAATGTTGGAAGGAGGGTTTGAACTAAGGAAGTGGAAGACTAATAATCTTGAGCTTAGAGAGATGATTGCTAAGAGTAATGATAGACAGAAAGAAACTTAATGTGAATAACATCCTTTGCAAAAGAAACCTTAGATTAGTAGAGAAACAGCAGGGAAAACTAAAGTTTTAGGTATGATGTGGGACAGTGATAAGGATAGTTTGGAGATAGACTTAAGTAAGGTATGAAACAATTTTCAGCATCATATGCCTACTAAGAGGATTATTTTGAGTACTTTGGCTACGTTATTTGACCCTATAAACAAGCCCACTTGAAGTTCAGGCTAAGATTAAATTTCAAGACCTTTGTAAGATGGAACTCGGTTGGGATGATCCTGTACCTAGGTGGTTGGAAGAGTTGCGAGAAGTAAAGGCTATTGAATTTTCAAGATGGATATGTGATGAGGTTGAAGGAGACGTTCTGTCATACGAGTTGCATGGA